TAAGGTGAGTTTGCTTAGGTGGCATGTTGGTTGGATTTGCAACCAATGAGAGCAACTTATTTGTGATAAGTATTGTCTGGTTACCTGTTGTAACTTGTAACAGCAGCATTGAAATGTTATTGGTTTGAATGTCCACCAATGCAAAGGTTGGGTTGGTTCCCAACCTTGTTTGTCTTTTAGTGGGTGGTGATTCACAATTGTGGACCAATCAACAATCATCCCTTCCAACCCTTTCTTCCCGTAAGTCGCTACCTTGCGTAGGTAGCGCTTTAGAGAGCCTTAGCTAGAATAGTCGCTAGGGTAGGTAGGTGATGCGTTACACGCAGGTTAGCTCCTGCTCGTTCACCCTCATTATAGCGTACCTCGTTATCGATGCACATTAGAAAAATACGGTATTAGCGACATATTACGTATATGTTTTCGTGTGTGCATGTTGCAGGTGGGAATATTCGAGAGATGGGGAAAATTCTCCCACGTCGCAGATCCCGGACTGCGCTGTTTCAATCCTTTCCTTGGGACTTGGATGGCGGGAAAACTGTCGCTCCGCGTGCAACAGCTAGACGTGCGATGCGAAACCAAAACGAAGGTGAATTGTATGTATTTCCCTCGTTGTCATGCTCTTCTCGCCGCCTCGTTCGTGACGTTGATATGTTCAGTCCCGAATGATGAAGGCGAATTTTAATTGCTGTTTTGTATACGATTCTTTTACATCCTACTTCTTGCAGGACAATGTGTTTGTGACGGTGGTGTGTTCCGTCCAGTACCGGGTGATGAAGGACCATGCAGACGATGCGTTCTACGAGCTCCAGAATCCTCGCGAGCAGATTCAGTCCTACGTCTTTGATGGTATGCAGTGTAACAAGGGGATTACAAGGGGATTGTGTTGCTGGTCTTGATTTCAGTCTTTGATGTCTTGCACTCTGGGTTTCCATAGACGTTTCACAGTGGACGGTTGTGCAATAGCTGACCCTGTGTACGTGTCTTGGTGTGGGCATGTGCATGTGTATATGTGTGCGTGCCGCATGCATACGTGCTTGCGTGCGTGTGTGGTGGTGGGGGGGGTGGAGTGGGTGTGGGCATCCCACTACAGTGGTGCGAGCCAGTGTTCCCCGCATAGAGCTGGATGAAGTGTTTGAACAGAAGAACGAGATTGCCAAGAATGTGGAGGAGGAGCTTGAAAAGGTAATATCAATGCATGAGGTTTCAAGGAGTGTAGATTGCTGGGTGGGGTTGGTTACCTCCTGCATGAAGCCTACTGTCCTACTGGCCAAGTGTCTTGTACCGTATCTTCTACTTGGTTACCTCCCGTTGTCACAAGCTGTGTTTTGAGTCGACTTAGAACACTCCTGTTTGAGTCGACGCAAAACAAGACTTGTACGGTATCTTCTACTTGGTTACCTCTGCTCTACTCGGTTACCTCTGCTTTGTCTCAAGCTCCTTTGTGTACAAGTTTGCGTGCGCGCTGACAATTCCCCTCGCTGACAAGTACCCTGTCCCTAAAATTATTTCTGCTGCTCTCTGCTTCTAAACTTTCCTATGCCTGTTGTTACAGGTGATGACAGCGTATGGCTACACCATTCAGCAAACCCTCATCGTGGACATTGAGCCTGATGCCACCGTACGCAGAGCCATGAATGAAATCAATGCTGGTAAAGCCATAGCTCTCTGCTCACTGATCTGCTAAAGTTTGTTTCCTGTCATGTTAGGCTGGCTGCACCTTTGTTCTGACTTCCTTTTCACAACAATCTCAGCTTTTTTCGAGGTTGATTTCGTTCTCTCACCTTCTTATTCTGTTTCCTTTCTGTGCTGCCCAAACGTGAGCAGCTCAGCGCATGCGCATGGCAGCACAGGAGAAGGCAGAGGCCGAGAAGATCCTTCAAGTGAAGCGTGCCGAAGCTGAAGCCGAGGCAAAGTACCTCTCGGGTGTTGGTGTGGCTCGGCAGAGGCAGGTGCGTCCTCAAAAGCCAACCTGCTGCGTACCTTTAAAAGCCAACCTTTTACATACTTTGCTATGCCAACCTGCTGTGCTCGTTTATGAGCCAACCCGCCACCTACACTGCTCTTTTTGCTACTTGTCATTCTGGCATACTGAGCTACTTCTTGGTTCCGACAATTTGCAAATTAGTACCACTTTTTCCTTTCCTCACGCACTTTTGCATTCCCTAGATCTTCCTGCATCCTTCGCCACCTGTGCCGCTCACCTGTGCAGGCAATTGTGGACGGGCTGAGAGAGAGCGTCCTCGCATTCTCACATGAAGTGGCAGGAACAACACCCAAGGATGTGTTGGATATGGTGCTTGTAACGCAGTACTTTGACACAATGAAGGATATAGGCGCGTCAGCCAAGAGCAACACGGTGTTCATTCCACATGCGCCATCTCAGATTGCTGACATTTCTGCCCAGATTTGGAATGGGATGCTGCAAGGAAACATTAAGCAGGAATAGAAGGTTAGGGTCGGCGTCTGTAGTGTGTGTGCAAGAAGCAAATGCATGTCATATGAGATGTGTACGTACAGTTCCAGTACTACCATACCTCTCTGTTAATGAAGAGAGCATCGCCTTCATGTATGTCAAAATTCACCGTACACTAGTGAGGTGAAGCGGGCAGTACTTGATGGTGGGGGTTGGGTTGGGATGGGATGGTTGGGTTGAGTTTGACAATCAAGGTCACACAGTTGCTGTCCCAACTGGTAAATGAAATTAACTGCTGAGTGGAACAAATCAAATGCTAGTGAAGTTAATTTACTATTCTGAGGTGTGCCATGAAGATTCGTTTGGACGTAGTTGCTTTTGAGGAGATGGGTGTACTCATCAACTGATAGATGTAACGTTGAGCATTCCAGGACACGTGGGTTCTCTTGACTGGATGTTGCTTTCTTACGTTTTTTTCGTTGGCATGGGAGCGAGCTGGTGGCGTCAAAACCTGGTCATCAAGGTTGTTGAGTCACAGCTCAGCTGTTTCGCGAGTGCGATATTTTACTGCTCAATCTCCGCCACAGAATGAGGTTCCGATATTTGTTTTCTACCACGCTGAAGCCACTTTGTCCGTGGACCCTGGAGATTCACTCTACGAAATGCTTGTGGGAATGTCAAGCGCGCCTATCAGCGTGAGTGAGACTGGACAGGTGGCAGCACTTACCAGTGGCGCCTTGAGAGGGTCATCATTTTCTCGTGCTTCTGGACATGAAGACTCGGGAATACTTTTGTGATTTTTTTACTCCTGGCATACGTCACCTTCGATTCCGAAATCTCACATTTTGCATCTTCCACAAGTTTTTTGGGGCTGAATTGCCTCCTTAGGCCTGACAGCTGATTCCACGCAGGCAAATGGTAGCTGCTTCATCGTGTGGATCTTGAATGGCTCCCCCAATAACAAGAGATCATGATTATGCTGTTCAGACGACGCGTCAGCGTCACATTCGGCAGCCTCACAGGTGGCTGCTCAATGCTCCCCTCCCTCTCCATGGATCTCACCCCGGAATGAATTGGTGGCCACATTTCTGGGTTCTCTATTCCACTATGGTCAGCAAACTGTATATTTCCCAGAATTTTAGCGATTCTACCAAGTGGGATGCCCATTTTTAGTGCAACAAACCCATCGTTTTTCTCACACTCTGGGAAGCAAGCACTTGTTCGTTTCAACAAGATGCTCATAAATTCAAACAGCAGCCTGACCACTGTGCGGATGGTGCGAACTACTCACATCCACGAACAAGATGCTGCTGAGGGGAACACAGTGCCCTGCCCACGCACACAGATGGGGGTGATGACGATTTGCTCCCCAACCAGCAGCAACCCTTGCAGCTGAATCCTTTTCATCCATGCGACTTGCTGATGTGGCTGCTTCCTGCCCCCTAAAGCCAGCCACAAGAGGAGGACGAAGGGTCAAGGTTGTGGATGGGAACCTGTTGTTTGAGGGCAGAACAGAACAGAACAGAAAGAGTGTCGCCGTAGCCACGCGAATGCATTTCGTCACATTTTCCATTGTGATCCGGCAGCAAAATGCGTTACAGCATGCGGCGAATTCAGGCCGTGAATCGAGCTGGAAGGGAACCTTGAAATCTACGAGTGTTTTCTTGTTTGCAGTGGAACTTCAAGTGCGTGGTGTTCGCTGCCCTGCGTCACGTGCGACCGCATGAGAGCTCCTTCGTCATGTGGCCATAGTCCGCTCTCGCCTCCATTCTCTGTACACCGTGGCAACTGACGTAAAACCGACCAACCATAAACGAGAATGACTCGCGGCGTGCCTGTACCGCCTAGCCTGTCCCATTTCGTGCCTTGATATTCCCAGACATTTCAAGCCGCTCGTATCCATCTTTCCTGCCCCCCAATCAGGCAGCGAGACGCGTTGCCTGGGTCGCTAAAACCATAAAAATCGGGGGTTGGGTTTCGGTGAAACAAGACCTGGCACGGGACGGAACACGATGACCACAGATATTTCCCAGCGATGACCTGCTGCGAGTTGCTGTGAATCTTGCCTGCATTTGCCTAACTTCTGTTTTCTTAGGTAATTGTTGCCCATTGCCCAGCGCCCACGCTTCACATTCCTGCCCCCTGCCTGAACACACACACACACATGGCACTGTTCGGTAGCCCTCCACTCCTCCATAGAACGCCTGCCCCGCATCCAATCCTTCGCTCAGCCGCAGACTCGCAACGAACCATCAACGCCACGCCACGCCACCCTTCCCTGTTCCACAATTTCCGTCTTTCACTCGCCATCCTCTCGGCACCTGCTTTACTCCTCACCTCAACCTCCTAGTCTCAGCACATTTAGATTAAAGGCCGCTGTTTCATATTTCTCACCGTTCCAGAAGTCTCGTCCTTCGACGCATCCTCTAATTCCAGAAACACTTGATCTGCTGTCAACCACAGGATTACCTGTGCCACCGCTAGACTCGTACTACATCTAGCAATTATGTCAGTTTTTCCAACACATTCCGTAGTTCCGACTCTTCTCCCATCAGCCTTTTCCTTGGTCTCCCGTACATCTTCCGCCATGGCCTCTTCCGCCGTTTGCGCCTTGTGCCCGGCACCCGCGACCGTCCACTGCCCCGCTGACAGCGCCAATCTCTGCGCGTCGTGCGATCTCGCAGTGCACAGCGCCAACACCATCGTGCACAGACACGTGCGCACCGTCCTCTGCCGCTGCTGCGCCGCCCCCACGACCGTGCAGATCTGCGGCCTCCCCGCATCCACCGCCGCCACTCCCCCTTGCATCTGCGCCTCCTGCATGATGCCTCTGCTCTGGCCGTCCACGGGATTCCCTGGAACGAACGCGGGTAACCTGGTTACCAACTCGCAGACGTCTGGGCCGTGCCCGCAGAGCTTAGCGGCTGCTACGGGTAGCCTACTGCCGGAAGGGCTTACGTCCGGTTCGGAGCGGCATCTGCAGGGGTTCTTAAACGCTAGCTCGACTTTCTCCCTCGGGAACACCGCTGCTGCGCCGCCTCTCATGACCCATCTCCCGCGCCCGGCGGGGTTCGTGACGGGTGTCCGGGGTGGGCTTGTCCAGGCGGCGACTGTGACGCAGCTTGACGATAACTCTCCAATCAGCGTCCTCACGACGGAGTCTGACGTTTTCCGTTCGACGGATTTCGTCAACCAGCAACCGCGAGAGAAGATGCCACAGGAAGGGCTGTTTCACAGAGTACCGTCTCAGGACATGTTTCCTGGGTCGTTCCGACCAGAGGGGTTGATTCGACTGGAGGAAGCTGAGTCGTATCGAGCCTGCGAGCAGCAGCAGCAGCAGGAGCAACGTGAACACAGCCCGCTCACTCTGTCTCTCTTCCCCCTCTCCGCCGACGAAAGATCGTCCGCCGGGGGAATGGCGCGCAGAATTCACACTGATGTAACGGACGATAGCCGCGTGTCGTGCTGCGCTGTCCCGCCGCTGATTCCGGTCGACGAGCCGCAGAGGAAGCGGCAGCGGGTGCAGGCAGGGAGTGGCGTCGGCGCGTCGCGAGCAGCGTCGGCGTTTGTCCCCTTTGTAAGCGAGACTTGCACCCAGGTGAAGCAATTCGATGGTGCATCGACAATGGATGGGACGGGTCTGGGGAAGAGGCCATATGACGCGTGCGAGAAGCAGCAATTTCCGTCAACTGCGGAGGCAACAGGGGCAGCAGCACCAGGAGCGGAGCCTGCGCGGGGAAAGCTGGGCAAGACTGCTTCCGCGCGGCTCCGCCACGTGCTGCTGACGTGGCAGTCACGTTTAGGGCTTCAAGTACCCACCGTTCGCGCATTGGCTTTCCACATGCTTCAGCGCGTTCTGCTGCGGCTACAGCCGACGGATATGGCGGCGGAGTCGCTGCGCGTGCTGCTGGCCGCGTGTCTGTGGGTCGCGGCTAAGAATGAGGAGAACCAGAAGTGTGTACCGAAAGCGAAAGCGGTTGCTGCTGTAGCGAAGGTGCCTGTATCGCGTCTGGCTTCTTGTGAGATTGAGGTGCTGAAGATGCTGGACTGGCAGCCTCAGAAGGGGTTTAACAGCGAGACTCACGGATTTTGAGAGACCCTGATTTGGAGATGACCCTATTTGAAGCTTCCATTTTGCTGTCACTAGTTTTCGTCCTGGGTGCCAAGTTTAGACTTGATGACTTGGCAATGCTGTGCCTAGCAAGCTCACGGCTCTGCTTGCTGCAGCAGCCTAGTTCTAGGTAGACTTGTAGGAATATTGCTTACTCTCTTGCCCATAGCATGTCTATCCAGGCCTTCACATTTCAGTGCGATTTTTTCACTTGATACCTAGCTACTACCTCCTGATGTCTCGGTGATGTTCTATGCTTCATCTGCCCAGTCCTCACCCTCTCCTGGGTAGCTCTCGACGGCTACTTACCATGTGTTAGCAATGGGTACAAAACATCGCGATACACTCAGTAGACCTGCCAATATCAAAGACATCACAGATGGGTGGGGATCGGCGAATGTGTGTGGCATTTGAAGTAAATGTGCTCCAGGGTCCTGATAAGGGTCCTGATAAAACCAGTTTAAAACCGGGGTGCACATTCAGCTGAATGTGCATCAAAGGTTATCCCTTGACTGAGTGGGTTACGAGGTGTGCTTTCAACCCCTTCAAGTCGAAATTCGTTTCCCCCCTCCCCCGCAATTTCGTTTCCCCACGCCCCCGCAATTTCATTTCCCCCTCCCCGTCGAAATTCGTTTCCCCCCTCCCCCGCAATTTTGTTTCCCCCCTCCCCCGCAATTTCGTTTCCCCCCCCTCCCGCCAATCTGTTTCATCCCTCCCGCCATTCGGTTTCACCCACTCCCGCCATTTCACCCCCTCCCGCCACCTACGAAATGCCCGAAGCTCTAGCGGAATCATTTTTTTGTCGCCCCTCGTGAGCCAATCACTGTTTTTCTCCAAACCCCCTTCCCAACATCTCAAGCCGAACCGCGTTGAATGTGCACCCTGGTTTTAAACCGTCTGAAATCCATGCAAAACGTTCAGAAACGCAAACGAATCGTATTACACCGCTCCAGGGCAACCACTTGTTGACTCAAAACAGTTTCTCAATTGAGACGAGACAAGATAGTGCTTGCAGTCAGAACAGGCAGGCAAGGCTCAGTTGAGGCGAGGACGAGCAATATCACTCTGCTTTGGTACCCACACGGATGCGCCTACCACACACGGCTCCCCTTTTCCTTCCAACTCCAAGCCACCCACCAATGGCGCATTTTGTCGCGAATTTTCCCTTACCTGCTCCGAGCAGTTCTCATCCGCCGCGTTCCTCCCATTCTTCTCCTTCCTCCTCTACCTCCTTCCCATTACCGCTTCTCGATCTCGCGGCTCGCGCCGCGGCTGCGAACGTCCCCGCACTTGCCGTTAATCTCCGCATCTTACCGCCGGAACTAGCGCGCCTCGTGTTCTCCGTCCTCCCGCGGCCCCTCGAGCTCTCCGCGATAGACGCCTTCGCGCGCGCCCGATTCTGGCAGCCCGAATCCCTCAACCTCACTGGTGTCTTATCTAAACAGCATCTTGCGAGATTTCCGGTGGGATTTCCGCCGGATTTTCTGGCGCGGGTTCCTTTGGAACGGCTAGCTGCGTTCGCGTCGTCGTTGCGTCGCGTGAATTTGAGCAACAGTCGCTTCCTTATGGACCTCCAGCCGCTAAGCGGTAAGAGCATATCTGTTAGGGTTGGTTCGCCCAACCACGGAACCTATGGCGAAAGTCTATACGACGGCGGAATGACGGCGAAATGGAAGCGCGTGGATGATTCTAGGTGAAACGGTGGAAATCAGCCTACGGCGTGAGAAGCGGGAGAGAAATCGAGAAGGAACCAAAGAAATGGAGGAAGAGAGAAGGAGAAGCATCGAGGATGAGATCGACGGGGGAAATTGTGGTCTGAGACCAAGGCGCGTTCGAGAAGGTTCCAGATTCGGTCTTGAGGAGTGTTCACCGAATTCGGTTCGGTTCCGTGTGCGACTCGGGGTGAAACGAGGCGCACGCGGTTACTTGGGAAACAAGTGAAGTTACGAATCGCATTTTGTGTCTTGCATGCCTATAAAACTGCTTGTACTCATTCTGGAAATATAACATTGATCAGTTGGTGATTCTGAAAATTGTTGAAGTGTGTATTGACAACTTCAAGCAGAGCTACGCATATCGTTGGATTCGGGAGATCGTGTAGAACACGATAAGCAATAGCAAGTAGACTATTGCCGACTAAGGTGCTTACGATCCTAAGAACTGGTATCAGAGCTTGGCGAACGAGCGCGTCGATCGTCGTGAATTCACTTGGTGCGCTAAGTGAAATTAGTGGAGAAGAGGAGTCGTTCACGCCTACGACATGGGAGACGAGGCGAGTTCGGGTTCCAGTGTGAGTCTTGGAGACCCGCAGTTGAAGGCTCTTCTTGAGGCCCTTGCGAGTGGCCGATTGGTGGCGAAACCGACGATCGGGCTCAGTGAAGCCCAGCTCTTCAACGGAAGCAACTACAACGTGTGGCGGAAGAAGTTTATTCGGAGGGCAGAGGAGGTTGACCTCTTGCCGTACTACCGTCCCGACGAGGAGACGATGGAGGGAGTTGCGCCATCCCCGACGGATACGAAGGAGAAAATAGCGGCGTTCAAAAAACAAAGTAAGCAAGCGTTCTTTCAGCTTTGTCACTCAGTTGCCGATGGAATCGCGGTGGATTTGGACCAGTTTGCAGGGGAGCTGAACTCTGCACAGCGAGCGTGGGAGTACCTGGAGTCCACGTACATGGGTACGAACGATGTCAACAAGAAGGCGATTAGGAAGCAACTGCTGATGCTGAGCATGGAGAAAGGCGAGAAAATCATCACCTACATCAACAGGGCGAAAAGCTACAACGACGATTTGCGGGTGATGGGAGCCGCGGAGACGGAGCATGAGATGATTGACTATATCATCCAAGGCCTTCCTAAGGAGTGGGAATCCGACATCGGTATGTTTATGTACCAACCGCCGGAGAGTTTGATGAAGCTGCAGGAGATTCTGCAGTCGCTTGAGACGGTGAAGGAGATGAGGAAAAAGAAAGCAGCAGCTGCAGCTAAGGAATTCGACGAGGAGAGGCCGGGTATGGTGAATGCCACGAAGGCGTTTGGAGCATGCTACCAGTGTGGAAAGCGCGGACATAAGGCGATAAATTGCTACGAGAACCCGCGAAGCAGAAACTATAAGGGCAAAGCGATGGAGAACGAGAAAGGAGAAAATGCAGGAGCGGAGTGGCAGCAGAAACGAGGTTTTGGCGGCAAGTGTGATTATTGTGGGCGCTACGGGCATCGTGCCGCAGAGTGCTACTCCAATCCGAACAGCAGGAGCTACAAGGGTCCGTCGCAGCAGAGGAATGTGGCGACAAAGGCGAATGCAGTGGAAGCGGAAAAGGAGGATGTGATTTTGGGAGGAGCGCATCTCGCGAACGTGGTGCGTTTACCGAAGGAGGCTCAGACAGATGGACGTGAGAAGAGGGCGTGGTTCATGGACAGCGGATGCACGCGTCACATGACGTTCAGGTCAGATTGGATGGAGAATGTGAGGGAGTCGAGTGAGGATTATATACTGCAAGGTAACAGTGGGAAGTTACCAGTGACAGGAGAGGGTGACGTGGTGCTGCAGAGTCCGTATGGAAAGGTGAAACTGGAGAGTGTGCTGCTAGTTGCGGATTTGAAGGTGAACTTGGTCAGTCAGTCACAGCTTGATGACTTGGGTTGCAAGATATTTTAGGACAGTGGCGAGGTTACAGTGTTTGGTCCTGAGTGGGAGAAGTATGCTGATGGTTACTTCAGTGATGGGTTCTATGAGATGAACTTGGTCGCGACGAACGATAAGGATGAGATTTATGAGGATCCTGAGTCTACTGAGGATGATGAGAGTGAGGACTCGGATGATATGGCTGCGAGTGTGGAGGCAGCAGTGAAGCAGGAAGAGGAGATAGTGACCATGGAGGCAGCAGCAGTAAACGGTGGAGATGGAGACGATGTCAACACTTTTGCAGCAGCGATCGTGGTTGAAGATGAAGCAGTAAATGCGAAGTGTGTGGGAGTTGAAGCTGTGAAAGGGGACATCATGGTGAAAGGATCAAAGGCGAATGCAACTGCAAAGGGGCAAGTGCTTAAGGAGGATGAACGCGTTGAAGGGTACGAGACCCGAGAGGTGTTGGGTGTAAAGATGCCGAGGAGAAGTGAGAGGCTTAAGAAAATCTCTCAAGGTTTGGATGTCAAGGCGCTCAACTTCAAGACACGTAAGCAGAGGTTCAAGGTGCAGGAGCTGCAGGGGAGTGTGAAGCCGACCTAGACCCTGTGAAGGCTACAAGGAGCAGGGGAGGAGTGCGAGTGGAGTTCGTGGTTGACGAACCACAGGGGAGATTGTTAGGGTTGGTTCGCCCAACCACGGAACCTATGGCGAAAGTCTCTACGGCGGCAGAATGACGGCGAAATGGAAGCGCGTGGATGATTCTAGGTGAAACGGTGGAAATCAGCCTACGGCGTGAGAAGCGGGAGAGAAATCGAGAAGGAACCAAAGAAATGGAGGAAGAGAGAAGGAGAAGCATCGAGGATGAGATCGACGGGGGAAATTGTGGTCTGAGACCAAGGCGCGTTCGAGAAGGTTCCAGATTCGGTCTTGAGGAGTGTTCACCGAATTCGGTTCGGTTCCGTGTGCGACTCGGGGTGAAACGAGACGCACGCGGTTACTTGGGAAACAAGTGAAGTTACGAATCGCATTTTGTGTCTTGCATGCCTATAAAACTGCTTGTACTCATTCTGGAAATATAACATTGATCAGTTGGTGATTCTGAAAATTGCTGAAGTGTGTATTGACAACTTCAAGCAGAGCTACGCATATCGTTGGATTCGGGAGATCGTGTAGAACACGATAAGCAATAGCAAGTAGACTATTGCCGACTAAGGTGCTTACGATCCTAAGAATATCGTTCTTCTTTGCTTGACAAACGAGTCATGCTGAACGAGAGTGTAGTAGTTTTCTAAAAAAGCATCACATTCTTCACGGTAACATGATTCTCCTTCCACCCCATTCCACGACCATCCCCATCCCACAGCGCTGCCTCGCCTCTCCTGCCTTGGGATTGCCGCGTGCCCGTCTCTCCACCAATCAGCTCTCAACACGCTCTGCTGTAGGTTCCCCTACCTCCTGCCACTCCCTCTCTTCTACAATATTCGCAACGATCTAGTATTCATGACTTTCTCTTTTTGTCCCTTGTCCTCTCCCTCAGCTGAACAACTTTCATTGATGAAAGTTTTTCTTTAATATTTTTGGTTAACCTTACGCGGCAATGCACTGTCTACTCCCGCTCCTCCCGTTTGTGCCAGCTCCCAACCAACCTCCCCTCTGCCACCCCCCCTCCCCTCTCAGACCTCCCGTCCCTCACATGCCTTGACCTCTCATGCCTTGACCTCTCATGCAACCCTCGCTGGTCCACAACGCAATTCATCTCCACACCATCCTCCCCTTTCCCCCCTCCCCACCCACCCCCCTCCCCTCTCAGACCTCCCGTTCCTCACGTGTCTTGACTTCTCACGGAATTCTCAAGTCAACGACACCACTACCACCGCTGTCATCCCCTGTAAACTGGTTCAGAGACCCCTTATTCACACACTACTCCAGCCCCTCTCCTTCTTCCCTGGTGTCCCCCCTTTCCCCTCCTCCCCGCAGACCTCCCGTCGCTCACATGTCTTGACCTCTCATGCAACCCTCGCTGGTCCACAATGCAATTCATCTCCACACCATCCTCCCCTTTCCCCTCCCTCCCTCCCTCCCAGACCTCCCGTCGCTCACATGTCTTGACCTCTCGCGCAACCCTCAATTTAATGACGCCGCTGCTTCCGGTGTCCTCCCCTGTAAGCCGGTTCAGGGTCTCAGGTAGGCGGTTCTTTCCGCTGTAGTTTGGACCAGGAAAGAACCCACGTTATTCCTTTTTTTACCCAACTTAGAAGGCGACTCTTTTTTGTTTACGGTGAATGTCGACTGCCGCTGCCATGTCATCCCTTTTTTGAGTCAACTCAGAAAGACCTTGTAGCCCGTTATGGCGCCTAAGGCCAGGAACGAACCATCACCTGCTCCTCTTCATTCCACAGGGATCCCTTCTCTCCAGCATCTGGACTTGAGTCACACGGCAGTTGGCACCTTGTTCCTCGATTCGCTCTCAGTGCTCACCTTGTAAAAATTTCCCCTTCGCATTCTCTCCCCTTCTCTCCACAGGGATACACTGTCTCCGCCATCTGGTCTTGAGCTACACTGCAGCCACCGCCTCGTTCCCCCTGTCTCAGTCCATTTTTCAACACTTTCTCATCCTTCTTCTTCCCTCCTCTCCCCCTCTCCCGTTCTCTCCTCAGGGATCCCTTCTCTCCAGCATTTAGACCTCAGTTACACTGCGGTCACCACCTCGTTCCTTGATTCCCTCACCTACGGTGCGCGGCTGAAGGGGTGGCGGAACAATGCTGCGGAAGCTTCCAGGAAGGTGGAAGCGCGGAAGGCAGGTGGGTAAAAGAGTGAGGGATTTTGAGCGACGTTGTGAGCCGAGTTCGAAGGTTATAGAGCGGTGCTAATGGGATGGACGAACACTGCTGAAGAAGCTTCTAGGAAGAAACGAGAGAGATGTGCTGAAGTGGGAGAGCTGAAGGAAGGCTTTAGTTAAACTTAAGACTCGTTCCATCCCCCCACCTCTTTAGTCCATCTTTACTACACTACTGAAATGATTTCCCTCATTCTCTCGCACGCACACTTCCCATCCATCCACGTCTAAAACCCCGTCTCTGCTCTGCTGCACTGCTGTGCAGCCAAGCGCCCGCGGTGAGCTCGAGTTGACTTCTGCGTCGACTCAAAAGTCAACTCTCGAGTGTTGCGGCTGAAATTAACTCAAAATTGCTCCCCATTGAGGTGATTTTCGAGGCGCCTCAGAAATCACGTCAAAAGTCAGCTCTCAATTGGTGCAACTGAAATTAACTCGAAATTGCTCCCCAATCATCAGCCTCTCTACCCCCATCTGTGCTCTGCTGCACCTGTCTCCAGCCAAGCGCCCTTGGTGGGAGGCAGCCACAGGCACAACGGCAGCTGCTGTCCCCAGCCCCCCACACGCCTCTATCTCTCACACACCTCCCATCCATCCGCCTCTGTACTCCCATCTCTGCTGCACCGCTGTCCAGCCAAGCGCCCCTGGTGGGAGGCGGCTCCAGACACAGCGGCAGCTGCTGACCCCAGCCCACACTCCACCTTCACGAAGCGATTTCGCCTGAACCAGGAGCAGCAGCAGCAACAGCAGCAACACCAGCACCACCAGCAGCAGCAGCAGCTGCTACCAGAGAGACAGCCGCAAGCAGAATCCGAGCAGCAGGAGGTTGGTGAAGAGCAGTTGGAGTGGCGTGAGTGCTGTCTGGTGTACCTGCGGCTGCAGGGGACGACTGTGGACAAGGCTGGAGCCACACACCTGCTAGGTGCGCTGTGAGACGGCGGTGAACTTGTTGCGAGATTGCGAGAGAGCATGTGAAAGAGAGAAAATGAGTATTAGAGCATGTCTTGTGGCTCCTACTCTCTTTTGCATACCAAATGCATGGTAACGACCGACCATCACGGGTTGACTTTTGAGTCGACTCAAAAGTCACCTCTTCCACTCTCTTTTGCAAAAGATCCATGCACCAAATGCATGGGTCGATTTTTGAGTCGACTAAAAAATCGTCCTTTGCAAAATATCCATGCACCAAACACATGGTACCGACCGACCATCACGAGGCATTTGCACCATGCTGCTGACATGGCCTAATGACACGTGTGCTGTAGAGCCTTGTCAGCCACGTGTGACTGATTCCTTTCTCAGAACCTTCCCGCATGTCATGCAGGTCTGAGTGCTATAGTGCCTCTGGGCGGCATGTTCTGTCTGGACTTGAGAGATACACTGGTGAAAGGCGACGTGCTGAGCAAGCTGAGATGTGAGCTGGGAGCTTGTCTTGTCAGCTGGGGGCGTGTGGCTGAGATGTGAGCTGGGCGCTTGTCTTGTCAGCTGGGGGCGTGTGGCTGAGATGTGAGCTGGGGGCGTGTGGCTGAGATGTGAGCTGGGCGCTTGTCTTGTCAGCTGGGGGCGTGTGGCTGAGATGTGAGCTGGGCGCTTGTCTTGTCAGCTGGGGGCGTGTGGCTGAGATGTGAGCTGGGGGCTTGTCTTGTCAGCTGGGGGCGTGTGGCTGAGATGTGAGCTGGGCGCTTGTCTTGTCAGCTGGGGGCGTGTGGCTGAGATGTGAGCTGGGGGCGTGTGGCTGAGATGTGAGCTGGGCGCTTGTCTTGTCAGCTGGGGGCGTGTGGCTGAGATGTGAGCTGGGGGCTTGTCTTGTCAGCTGGGGGCGTGTGGCTGAGATGTGAGCTGGGCGCTTGTCTTGTCAGCTGGGGGCGTGTGGCTGAGATGTGAGCTGGGGGCGTGTGGCTGAGATGTGAGCTGGGCGCTTGTCTTGTCAGCTGGGGGCGTGTGGCTGAGATGTGAGCTGGGCGCTTGTCTTGTCAGCTGGGGGCGTGTGGCTGAGATGTGAGCTGGGCGCTTGTCTTGTCAGCTGGGGGCGTGTGGCTGAGATGTGAGCTGGGGGCTTGTCTTGTCAGCTGGGGGCGTGTGGCTGAGATGTGAGCTGGGCGCTTGTCTTGTCAGCTGGGGGCGTGTGGCTGAGATGTGAGCTGGGGGCGTGTGGCTGAGATGTGAGCTGGGCGCTTGTCTTGTCAGCTGGGGGCGTGTGGCTGAGATGTGAGCTGGGGGCTTGTCTTGTCAGCTGGGGGCGTGTGGCTGAGATGTGAGCTGGGCGCTTGTCTTGTCAGCTGGGGGCGTGTGGCTGAGATGTGAGCTGGGGGCGTGTGGCTGAGATGTGAGCTGGGCGCTTGTCTTGTCAGCTGGGGGCGTGTGGCTGAGATGTGAGCTGGGCGCTTGTCTTGTCAGCTGGGGGCGTGTGGCTGAGATGTGAGCTGGGCGCTTGTCTTGTCAGCTGGGGGCGTGTGGCTGAGATGTGAGCTGGGCGCTTGTCTTGTCAGCTGGGGGCGTGTGGCTGAGATGTGAGCTGGGGGCTTGTCTTTTCAGCTGGGGGCGTGTGGCTGAGATGTGAGCTGGGCGCTTGTCTTGTCAGCTGGGGGCGTGTGGCTGAAATGTGAGCTGGGGGCTTGTCTTGTCAGCTGGGGGCGTGTGGCTGAGATGTGAGCTGGGCGCTTGTCTTGTCAGCTGGGGGCTTGTGGCTGAGATGTGAGCTGGGCGCTTGTGATGTGAGCTGGGGGCGTGTGGCTGAGATGGTGTGGTGTGGGGGTTTCTCAGCTGTGGATTAGACTTCCGTCTTTTAAGTTGGCTTCAAAAAAGGATTAGGATTATACCTTTGGTTGACGAAAGCTGCAGGTATTACATGCTTCTCTCTCCAGATGTTACATGGAGAGTGGACGGAGAGAAGATATCTCATGCTTCTCTCTCCTCGGTCCTCGTCCATCCGTCCACTCTCCAACCTTCCTCTTATCCTTCTCTCCCTTGCTTTCTCTCCCCTGCCTTCTTCCCTCCCAACAACAGCTACTTTTCATCTGCTCTCTTCACCCAACGAGCCTCGGCTTCTCTGCCGAACCAACGCCCTCGCTCTCAACATCCTCCGAACCTACCCAGGCCCGGGGGCCGAACCTAGCCACCGAACCAGCAGCTTCGGCAACCGTGCCATGGCAAGTGGCTGGGATAGCGAGGAAAGAGCGGGCGAGAGAGGCAGAGGAAGAGGAAGGGGTGATAGATTTCTGGAGAGAGAGAGGGGAGTTTGGAGCGAGGCAGCAGAGGTAGAGGGGGGGGGGGTAAGTCGAGGAACAGCAACAATTGAACAATCACGTCAACAGCGTTTCACGCTCTCACGGACGAATTGTTATACTCTGTTGCGGTTACCAACGGAGTTACCACCAATATCACGGCCACCAACAAAATTACCATCTTCTTTTGCCCTTCTCACTACAGGAGGCAACGGCACCAGCAGCAGCACCAGCACCAGCAACAGCACCAGCAACAGCATCAGCAGGAGCTTTTGCACCATCGTCAGCATCATCAGCATTACTGCATGAGTGGATGTGTGGTTGCGAGCTGACTGGAGCTGGCACTGCTGCTGCCAAGCAGTCTGGCAGCAGCAGCAAGAGCAGCACGAGAAGCAGCAGTGGCGGCAGCAGCAGCGGCGGTGGCATAAGTGAAGGAAGGCATAAGGTGGGAGGGTACATGGAGAGACCTGATGTGGCAGCGTCTGATAGGCTGGAGAGTTGGATGCATGAAGGCGTGATGAGCTTCCTCTGCGCTCCTCCTCCCCGCACTTTCCTCCCTCCTCCACTTGCTCCTCCTGTCGCTCCTCCTGTCGCTCCTCCCCTCCCCCTCTTCCTCCTCATTTTCCTCCTCGTGGTATTACTGTTTCCTCTTCTATGCCTCTGCCACATCCTCCAGATTCACAATTTGCCGCTCATCCGGCAGTCATGCCGTGACTGGTTTGATAGATGGGTGCCGTGAATGTTACATGTACAGGTCTTGTGTGTACGCTGATTACTACTGGGAGGACGGACATTCTAGCTTTTGCTACTTTCGCCTCCAACAGGTTACAGGGGTATTCACATCACAGCAGAGGGTGCAAATGTAGGGAAGAATAGGAGGTCTTCAGTCCCGTAAGCAAAATGGCACGATTGGAACTACATCCGAAAATGCTGCTCTCATTGAGAGTTGAACTCAAGACCTTTATTTTGCAGCTTCAACACCTTTCGCTTCAATTTACATGGAAACACTCGTCAAGAAATCCAGCAGTTCTTCTATCCACTTTTTCCATTCCCTTCCGCACACCTCTCCAACCATGTGCCCAGAGGCTGCAAGCAGACCTCTTAAAATATTTCTCCATCACTCAAGCTGGTTCCACTCGGAGTTGAGATCCTACTGAACAGCTCCTTGATTTCTCCACGGCAAGGCAGACCAGCACGTCTAGCACTTGTGAATCACTGGTGAGGAGAGCCAGACAAGGACTTCTAAGAAGAGATGAACAAAGTGGTGAGGAACAAAGAGTAAATATAGACATGCTCTCATTGAGAGTTGAACTCAAGACCGCCCGCTTGCTAAACGGGTGATCTAACCAACTGAGCTATGAGAGCTGCTTTTTGTCGAAGAGTGTTTTACTATGTACATGTCACGCTCAGCCTCTCCATCTTCCCACATTTCTGACATTGATTGACCGCCATGGACGGAAGGCATCACCAGAGGTAGGCAATAGGAATGACGTAAGGTTGCGTCGAGCTCGCCTAAGGAGCTCAGCCCTAGTTGTCTTACGGGCTTCCTCGGTAATGACATGTGCTAGCATAGCCTCATTGCCTTCCCTCTACGCGCTTCTCTCCTTCTGGTCGTCATGGCATTCCCTACGTTCAGGGTGTTTTTGAGAATTCTCTAAAGACATGTGCTAACACGGCCTCATTTCCGTGCCTCTTCACGGTTCCTTCCATCTGGTCTCTGAAAGCATTCCCTACGTTCCTCGCACGTGACCCCACTCTGTTTTCAAGTGTCTGAATAAATATGCCGTTCCGACATGGCGACTTTTGAGGCGCCTCAGAAGCTGAATATATTCGCCATTGCGACATGGATAGCCAAGGACATTGAAACGCTTGAATCACCCAGGGGACGCTGAGTCTCGAACGATGTGTTTAACAGTGTGTCGGTCATTGTGTCAGTCACGGTGTCGTGTCGGTTGATGTATGTGACACTGTAGCTGACATTGTGACTGACATCCGAGTGTCATGTCTGTCATTGTGTCTGACATTGTGCCAGTTCAAGTGTCAATCATGGCACTAGCAGACATTAAATCTGACACATGTTCTGTTCTGACACACTAGCTGACACACTTTCTGACACACTAGCTGACACGTTATCTGACACACTAGCTGACACGTTATCTGACACACTAGCTGACACGTTATCTGACACACTAGCTGACACGTTATCTGACACACTAGCTGACACGTTATCTGACACACTAGCTGACACGTTATCTGACACACTAGCTGACACGTTATCTGACACACTATCTGGCGCACTATCTGACATTACCGTGCATCCCGCCATTGCCGCCGGCTCCTCTTCTCTATCCACTTCCCACTTGCTGCCCCCTCCCCTCCACTCCCCCTCCCGCCACCTAACCCCATTCCCACTCCCCTCCCTTTACCCTAACCTATCTTTCTCCAACCTCCCCTTCCCCTCCATCCCCCCCCATCAACCACCCCCTCCCTCCCCTTCCCCTCCATCCCCCCCCATCAACCATCCCCTCCCCCCCCTCCCCCACCCCCTTCCCCCCTCAACCCTCCCTCCCTGTCCCCCCATCCTTCCACCCGGCTCCATTTCCCCCCGGGATGCCCCCTTCCCCGCGCGCACTTCTCCCCGTCCCCAGACATGGCTCCGCGGGCGGAGGCGCGGGGCGGCAGGAGGGGAACCTGTGGGGGCAGGCGCGGAGCGTGTTCATGAGCGCAATACTGGCGGAGCCTCCCCCTGAAATCCGGAGAGAAGGTGCGGAAGTGGGGGGGTTGGGGTGGATGGATGGGGGGAGGGGGGGGAGGGGTGTAAACGCGGAGCATGTTCATGAGCGCCATACTGGCGGAACCCCTTCCGGATATCCGCAGAGAAGGTGGGGAAGTGGGGGATGAGGGGGAGATGGGTGTAAGCATGACGGGGGGTGGGCAGGCGCGGAGCGTGTTCATGAGCGCCATACTGGCGCAATATTGGCGGAACCTCCCCCAGAACCTGTGGGGGCAGGCGCGGAGCATGTTCATGAGCGCCATACTGGCAGAGCCCAACGCGGGGAGGGAGGGGAGGGGTGTCAGCTCGGAGCGTATTCATGAATGCCATACTAGCGGAGCCTCCCCCAGAGATCCGCAGAGAAGTTGGGGAAGTGGGGAGTGGAACGGGAAGGGGAGGAGGGGTTTGCTTCAACAATCCTCCCTCTCCCCCTTCTGCCCTCTCTTCCCCCAACGTAACTCCCCCAGTTGTTACTCGTCCCACAATCAGCACTGGCACAGTCAGCGGCGCAGACGCGCTCACGATGCTGCTGGCAGGGAATGACATCGGTATCGTGCGCCGCCGAGACACCACCCCTGCTGCTGCTGCTGCTGCTGCTGCTGCTGCTGCTGCTGGTGCTGGTGCTGGTGCTGCTGGTGCTGCTGCTGCTGCTGGTGCTGCTGCTGGTGCTGCTGCTGCTGCTGGTGCTGCTGCTGCTGCTGCTGCTTCTGCTGCTGCTGCTTCTGCTGCTGCAGCTTCTGGTGGTGATTCTTGAGGCGCTTCAACAGGCCCTCTCTCCCTTCTACCCTCCCTTCCCCCCACCCATCCAGTTACTCGTCCCACAATCAACACCAGCACAGTCAGCGGCGCCGGCGCGCTCACAACGCTGCTGGCAGGGAATGACATCGGTATCGTGCGCCGCCGAGACACCACCCCTGTTGCTGCTGGTGGTTCTGGTGGTGGTGTTGGTGGTGATGCTGCTGCCTGCCGGTGGTGATTCTTGAGGCGCTTCAACAATCCCTCTCCCCCTTCTCCCCTCTCCCCCCCATCCCACTTCCTCAGTTACTCGTCCCACGATCAACACCGGCACGGTCAGCGGCACAGACGCGCTCACAACGCTGCTGGCAGGCAATGACATCCGTATAGTGCGCCACCGAGACACACCTATCTTCCTTCTCCCCTCTCCCCTCTCTCCTCCTTCTCCCCCTTTTCCCCCATCCATCCAGTTACTCGTCCCGCGATCAACACCGGCACGGTCAGCGGCACAGACGCCCTCACAACGCTGCTGGCAGGGAATGACATCGGTATAGTGCGCCGCCGAGACACCTCTATCCCCCTTCCCCCATCTCTTCCCCCATCCCATCCCCTCAGTTACTCGTCCCACGATCAACACGGGCACAGTCAGCGGCACAGACGCGCTCACAACGCTGCTGGCAGGGAATGACATCCGTATAGTGCGCCGCCGAGACACCACCCCTGCTGCTGGTGGTGGTGGTGGTGCTGGTGGTGGTGGTGGTGCTAGTGGTGGTGGTGCTAGTGGTGGTGGTGGTGGTGCAAGTGGTGCATCAGGCAGTGGAGTGGGGAAGGGAGAGGGCGGGCAGGGAAGAGGGGTCAACGGGGGCGCGGGAAGGGGGGCAGGGAGAGGCGGAGGAAGGGGAGGGGAGGATGGGAGGGAGAGGGGAGGGGTGAGTGAGGAGGAGAAGGAGGCACTGTTTGCAATGGCTGCTCGGCACGAGTGGATGTCGTATCTGAGGGAAGAGATACTGCTGCTGCACGTGAGTAACGTTTCATAATATCTATTTTGATTTCGAGAATGAAATGTGCTGTGGGAATCATTTCTGCTGCTGCTGCTGGTGGTGCACGTGAGTAAGATATTCTCTGTCATTCCGCCTGCGTTCTCACCCTTCCCCTTCCCCCTTGCAGATTGAGAGCGTCAGAACGAGCTGGTGGCGACCCAGCAGCAGCAGCAGAAGAAGAACCGTCTCTTACAAGACTCGAATGCGTATCCTCCCTGTGTAATTCTGTGCTGTGCACCCTCCCTCCCTTCCCCGTGCATTCTCACCCTTCACCTTCCCCCTGGCAGATTGAGCGACAGAACGAGCTGGTGGCGGCCCAGCAGCAGCAGAAGAAGAAAGGCGGAGGCACACCCACTGCTGCCGCCACTGGTGAGTGCGTTTTTAGGGCACACCCACTGCTGCTGCTGCGTCTGCCGCTGCTGGTAATTGCTTTTGGAGTGCCCTCCCTTTTTCGCCCCTCTCACCCCTTCTCTCCGGCAGCAGCCAGCAGCAGGAGCGTGTGGGCGCCAACCAACGACCCAGCAGCCATGCTCCAAGCCAAGCTAGACGTTGAAATGCCTCAGTTCAACACCCGCCCTCTCCCCCTGCTGCTGCCTCTCTCCCCTCTTCCCAATGTTCTCCCGCACCCTCCCATTCACCCTTTTCTTTGGCAGCAGCCAGCAGCAGGGCCGTGTGGGCGCCAACCAACGACCCAGCAGCCATGCTGCAAGCGAAACTCGATGTCGAAATGCCTCAGTTCAAGTCCCGCCCCCCTGCTGCTGCCTCTGCCGCCGCCGCTGCCGCTGCCAAGGGGGAACTCCGGCGCAAAAAAAGCTCCGCCCTGGGGGAATCAGGGGAAACTCTGCAGGAAAAAAGGGCGGTTTTGCAAGTGTCCCAGTCTACGCGGGTGTACGGCGGTCCGGTGATGGAAGGGAGGAATGTGGGCAGGGTGAAGAGTGGAGGAGAGGCAGGGATTGGTGAGGGGGAGGAGGAGGAGGAAGAGGAGGGTGGTATGAGTGCTGCCAGCGTTGCTGCTATAGGGTTTGCATCTGCTTCCGTTGGCGGTGCTGCTGCTGGTGCTGCTGGTGATGCTGCTGGTGCTGGTGGCATTGGCGGAACAACGGCTGCTGCTGTTGCTGCAGCTGTGGCGGCTGCTGGCCCTGCTGCTGCTGACTCGATTGCTGCTGGCGCTGCTGACCCACTCTGTGAGCCCATCTTCCACTGTTGCTTGTTTTGAGTCGACTTTTGTGTCGACTCAAAACACGACTGCTGCTGGCGCTGCTGAACCACTCTGTGAGCCCATCTTCCACTGTTGCTTGTTTTGAGTCGACTTTTGTGTCGACTCAAAACACGATTGCTGCTGGCGCTGCTGACCCACTCTGTGAGCCCATCTTCCACTGTTGCTTGTTTTGAGTCGACTTTTGTGTCGACTCAAAACACGACTGCTGCTGGCGCTGCTGACCCACTCTGTGAGCCCATCTTCCACTGTTGCTTGTTTTGAGTCGACTTTTGTGTCGACTCAAAACACGACTGCTGCTGGCGCTGCTGACCCACTCTGTGAGCCCATCTTCCACTGTTGCTTGTTTTGAGTCGACTTTTGTGTCGACTCAAAACACGACTGCTGCTGGCGCTGCTGACCCACTCTGTGAGCCCATCTTCCACTGTTGTGTTGTTGTTTGCTTTGGGAGTCCTGTGGAGTGGGAGCAGCTCGTCTGCGGCTGCTGCTGTTGCTTCAGCTGTGGCAGCTGCTAGTCGTGCTGTTGATTGGACTGCTGCTGGCGCTGCCGACCCACTGTGTGAGCCCGTCCGCCAGTGCTGGTTGTTTTTTAGAGCCCTGTGGAAAGCAGCTCGGCTGCTGGCCCTGCTGCTGCTGACTCGACTGCTGCTGGCGCTGCTGACCCGCTCTGTGAACCCATATTCCACTGTTGCTTGTTTTGGAGCTGGCTGGGCTGGTTCGTTCACCCTAAACCTCCGACTTTTGAGTCAACTCAAAAGTCACCTCGCAGCTGACCTACTCTGTAAGCCGCCCATCTTCCAGTGCTGCTTGTTTTGAGTCGACTTTTGTGTCGACTCAAAACGCGACTGCTGCTGGCACAGCTGACCCACTCTGTAAGCCGCCCATCTTCCAGTGCTGCTTGTTTTGAGTCGACTTTTGTGTCGACTCAAAACGCGACTGCTGCTGGCACAGCTGACCCACTCTGTAAGCCGCCCATCTTCCAGTGCTGCTTGTTTTGAGTCGACTTTGAGTCGACTTTTGTGTCGACTCAAAACGCGACTGCTGCTGGCACAGCTGACCCACTCTGTAAGCCGCCCATCTTCCAGTGCTGCTTGTTTTGGAGCAGGGCTGTTCGTTCACCCTAAACCTCTGCTGTGGACCGTGCGATGTGACTTGATTTGACGAGGATGATTCGCGGAGGAGATATTGAAAGCACTTTTGAGAATTCTCAAAGGCGATTTCAATATAGCATGCGATGTGATTTGACGAGGATGATTCGCAGAGGAGACTCTGACGTCTCAAGAATGCTGCTGTGGATGATGCACTGTGATGTGACTGATGTGTTGTGATGTGATTTTCTCCTTCTCTTTCCGCTCTCTCCTCTCTTTCTTCTTACCCCTCTCCCTCCGCGCTCCCTCCTCTCCCTCCTCTCCCTCCTGCCCTCCGCTCCCTCCTCTCCCTCCGCTCCCTCCTCTCCCTCCGCTCCCTCCTCTCCTTCCTCTCCCTCCTCTCTCTCCGCTCCTTCCTCTCCTTCCTCTCCCTCCTCTCTCTCCGCTCCTTCCTCTCCCTCCTCTCCCTCCATTCCCTCCCCTCCCTCCTCTTACCCCTCTCCACAGCACGGCGTGCATCAAGTGGGGAGAGGGCGGCCAAGGCAGCAGCAGAGGCGGCTGCAGTCGAAGCCCCTCACTGCAGTCACTTTCGAGTCGACCTTTACTGACTCTCCTGTCCGTTCCTCCCTCTTCTCCAACCTCTCCTGCTCCCCCTTCTCCCTCCTCTCCCTCCCCTTACCCCTCTCCCTCCCCCTACTATCCCTCTCCACAGCACGGCGTGCATCAAGTGGGGAGGGGGCGGCCAAGGCAGCAGCAGAGTCTTTTCAGCAAGCAGGTGGTGACATGACATACTATCGAAATGAATTGGGATTTTGCCGCCTCCCCCTTTTCTCTCTCCCTCTCCACAGCCCGGCGTGCATCAAGTGGGGAGAGGGCGGCCAAGGCAGCAGCAGAGGAAGCCCCTTAGTTGGTGAATTCGGAGTCAACCCTTCTGCCCCCCCTCCCTTTTCTTACCCCTCTCCACAGCACGGCGTGCATCGAGTGGGGAGAGGGCGGCCAAGGCAGCAGCAGAGGCGGCGACAACGGGCGGGCAGAGGATGATTCGCGTGTGGGAGAGGATGAAACGCATCATCCCCAGCAACCCCTCCTCTGCCGCCGCTGCTGCTGCCTCCGATGCCGCTGCTGCTGGTGGCGATAGCAGCAGCAATTTCCTACCAGAGGTGAGTCAGGATGTGAATAGGGTGGAGAGATCATGGGTCAAGAGATTAAGAGAAATCACTTTTGAGGATTCTCACAAGTGATTTCAACGCCGCCGCTGCCTCTGATGCCGCCGCTGCTGGCGGCAATAGCAACAGCGAGTTCCTACAAGAGGTGAGTAAAAAAAAAAAAAGGAGTACAGGTCATCAAGATACGAAGAGAAGGGGACCTGTACTCTCCCATACTCCCCCCCCCCCATCACCAACCAACCAACCAACCCCAACAGGCGTGTCATCGCAGCCATTTGAGCCAGTCGTTTTTGGCCTCTCTGTTCAGCTGGAACACATCCCAGACGACCAGTGTTTTTTGAGAGACCAGTCGTTTTTGGCCTCTCTCAAAAAACACTCTGTTCGGCTGGAACACATCCCAGACGACCACAGATGCCCCTCCTGGATTGCAATTAACCTTCCTGTTGCACCCATGCCCAAGCCCATGCCGCAATCAACCTTCCTTCTGCCCATCCTCCCCTCGCTCTCTCCTACCTCCCACGCACTCCCCCTCTCCCTCCCCCATTCCACCCCCACCAGGCATGTCATCGCATCGCAGCCATCTCAGCCAGTCGCTCTCGGCCGGACTGATCCCAGCCGACCAGAGGGGTCCCTCCTGGATTGCCCTGTTGCTCTCCCTCATGCTGGTCACTAACTCCCCCTCTGCCCATCCCCCACACTCCCCCATCTCCTCCGTTGCACCAGGCGTGTCATCGCAGCCATCTCAGCCAGTCGCTCTCGGCCGGACTGATCCCAGCCGACCAGAGGGGTCCCTCCTGGATTGCCATGGCATGCTCCGACCCTGAGGTATGGCAGCTCCAAACTTGAGGTATGGCAGCTCCAAACTTGAGGTATGGCAGCTCCAAACTTGAGGTATGGCAGCTCCGACCCTGAGGTACAGCGTGCTCTGACCCTGAGGTATGGCATGCTCCGACCCTGAGGTATGGCGTGCTCCGAACCTCGTCTTATGTGTCGGGTGACTCCATAATCTCTTGTCTTGTTTCTCCTCCACTCCACACCAGGACGATCTCATCAATCGCACCAGCTACACGCTGCTGAGCCGAGCAACGCTCCTGCTGAGAGCCCCCCCTTCGTCCAAGTCCTCTTCCCTTCTCTCTGTCCTGGGTCGGTTTTTGAGTCGACTCAAAACTTGACCTTATCAATCGCACCAGCTACACGCTGCAAGCCGAGCAACGCTCCTGCTGAGAGCTCCCCCTTCGTCCAAGTCTCTGTCCTTCCATTCCCCTCCCTGCTCCCACACCAGGACGATCTCATCAATCGCACCAGCTACACACTGCTCAAGGAACGCGCTGCCTCTGCCCCTCCCACTACGTATGGCACACAAGCCGTTTGCTCTGATCACTCTCGTTTCCCCCGTTTCGACTTCCCTTCTCCCTTCCCTCCCTCCCTCTCCTCCCTTTCAGTTCACTCCTTTTGCTTTGCTCCCTATCCATCTTCCTCTCTCTTTTGAGTCGACTCAAAACTCTCTTCCCCTTCAGTTCTCTCCTGCTTTGCTCCCTATCCATCTTCCTCTCTCTTTTGAGTCGACTCAAAACTCTCTTCCCCTTCAGTTCTCTCCTGCTTTGCTCCCTATCCATCTTCCTCTCTCTTTTGAGTCGACTCAAAACTCTCTTCCCCTTCAGTTCTCTCCTGCTTTGCTCCCTATCCATCTTCCTCTCTCTTTTGAGTCGACTCAAAACTCTCTTCCCCTTCAGTTCTCTCCTGCTTTGCTCCCTATCCATCTTCCTCTCTCTTTTGAGTCGACTCAAAACTCTCTTCCCCTTCAGTTCTCTCCTGCTTTGCTCCCTATCCATCTTCCTCTCTCTTTTCTCTGTTTCTCACCTCCCCTTCAGCACTCTGTATATCTATATAAACATGTTTTTCCTTTCATTCTTCTCCGTTTCGCCCTTCCTTCCAGAGAGGTATACCGTGACACGCTCTGTGTGGTGCTAGAGTGGAGGGAGAAGCAAGCACAAGCACTCCTCCTGAAGCAGGAGCAGCAGCAGCAGCAGCAGCAGCAGGAGAAATGGCATGGCGATAGTAACCAGGAGGGTAACCAGGAGGGAGAACAGGACGCAGCAGCAACATCAGGCAGCGGAGCATCTGTCCCCTCTATAGCGTTCTCCCCTAAGCGCCCCCCTGCTGCTGTGGCTGCTGAGAAAGTGGCTAAGCTGATGGCTGCTGCAGCTGAGAGGCAGGCCCGGGAAGCAGCACAGATCGCATCTGCTGCTGCTGCTGCTGCTGCTGCTGCTGCTGCTGCTGCTGCTGCTGCTGCCGCTGCTACCGCTTCTGCTGTTGGTGATGACTCTGCTCCTGACGCTGCTGCTGCTGATGCTGCTGTTGCTGATGCTGCCGATGCTGCTGCTGCTGCTGCTGCCGGGGAAGGTGTGAGTGTGGTGGTGGTGGGGGTGGAGGATGGGTTGAGTGAGGAGGACGCAGCTCTGCACCAGTCGCTGCTGAACCTCATCAAAGCATACTCTGTGAGTTTGAAGCCTTAGAGCTGCCTTGTCTGTCAGTTAGCATTGTTGCTGCAGCTGGTGCTGGTGCCGGGAAAGGTGTGAATGTAAGAGTGGTGGGAGTGGCGGATGGGTTGAGTTTTGAGACGTGTCAAAACTCGAAAGGTGTGAATGTAAGAGTGGTGGGGGTGGAGGATGGGTTGAGTGAGGAGGACGCAGCTCTGCACCAGTCGCTGCTGAACCTCATGAAAGCATACTCTGTAAGCAACTTTTGAGACGTCTCAAACCTCATCAAAGCATATTCTGTGAGCATCGTTGCTGCTGGTACTGCCGGGGAAGGTGTGAGTGTGATGGTGGTGAATGTACTGTGTGAGAAGGGACAACTTTCTACACCAGTCACTTCTGAATCTCATCAAGCATACTCTGCGGGTTGAAGGCGCAGAGGCAAGTCGAAGAAGATTTTCTTTTGTGCCGATTCGCTGAACCTCCCACAGTTCAAGTCACTAGCAGGGCCTCACAGCTATGTGCCATGTGCATCCCTCCTCCCCACTGCCACACTCTCCCAGGTGTGTGACCCGGTCACGTGGTACTGCAGCGGCATGGGGTGGATGGCGCTCACATTACACTGCTCTCATATCTCACACCCCTCCTTCATCCTTCCCCCCTTGTCCCCCCCTTATTCCCCCCTTGTCCCCCCCCCTCAGGTGTGTGACCCGGACACGTGGTACTGCAGTGGCATGGGGTGGATGGCGCTCACGCTGCTCTCCCTCATGGCGGAGGAAGATGCCTTCCTCTCCCTCCTCTTCCTCATGCACCGCTGCGGCCTCCGAGGGCTCTTTGCACCCAACATGCACCAGGTGGGTGTGGCTGAGATGAAAGAGAGGGAAAGGCACCTCTTTGCACCCAACATGCACCAGGTGGGTGCGGCTGAGATGAAAGAGAGGGAAAGGCACCTCTTTGCACCCAACATGCACCAGGTGGGTGCGGCTGAGATGAAAGAGAGGGAAAGGCACCTCTTTGCACCCAACATGCACCAGGTGGGTGCGGCTGAGATGAAAGAGAGGGAAAGGCACCTCTTTGCACCCAACATGCACCAGGTGGGTGCGGCTGAGATGAAAGAGAGGGAAAGGCACCTCTTTGCACCCAACATGCACCAGGTGGGTGCGGCTGAGATGAAAGAGAGGGAAAGGCACCTCTTTGCACCCAACATGCACCAGGTGGGTGCGGCTGAGATGAAAGAGAGGGAAAGGCACCTCTTTGCACCCAACATGCACCAGGTGGGTGCGGCTGAGATGAAAGAGAGGGAAAGGCACCTCTTTGCACCCAACATGCACCAGGTGGGTGCGGCTGAGATGAAAGAGAGGGAAAGGCACCTCTTTGCACCCAACATGCACCAGGTGGGTGCGGCTGAGATGAAAGAGAGGGAAAGGCACCTCTTTGCACCCAACATGCACCAGGTGGGTGCGGCTGAGATGAAAGAGAGGGAAAGGCACCTCTTTGCACCCAACATGCACCAGGTGGGTGCGGCTGAGATGAAAGAGAGGGAAAGGCACCTCTTTGCACCCAACATGCACCAGGTGGGTGCGGCTGAGATGAAAGAGAGGGAAAGGCACCTCTTTGCACCCAACATGCACCAGGTGGGTGCGGCTGAGATGAAAGAGAGGGAAAGGCACCTCTTTGCACCCAACATGCACCAGGTGGGTGCGGCTGAGATGAAAGAGAGGGAAAGGCACCTCTTTGCACCCAACATGCACCAGGTGGGTGCGGCTGAGATGAAAGAGAGGGAAAGGCACCTCTTTGCACCCAACATGCACCAGGTGGGTGCGGCTGAGATGAAAGAGAGGGAAAGGCACCTCTTTGCACCCAAAATGCACCAGGTGGGTGCGGCTGAGAGCGAGGTTTTATGCATACACACTAAGGGTTTTTGTTCTCAGGAAAGATCCCTCTGTCATGACCCCTCTGTCATGACCCCTCTGTCATGACCCCTCTGTCATGACCCCTCTGTCATGACCCCTCTTCCTTTCAAATCACACCCAACTCCCTCTCTCCCCTCTTCCCTCCCTCTTTCCCCTATCCAGCTCAACACGCGTCTCTCCCAGTTCCTCACAGAGACCACGCCTCTCCCAGCTTCAGCTTCAAATTTCACTGTCTTTTCATACTTGCTCTAGCCTAAACCTAAGTGCCGCTGCTCACTGGAAGATGTCCAAAGTTCCTCACAGAGACCACGCCTCTCCCAGCTTCAGCTCTCAGCTCAATGTGAAACCCTCTCTCTCTCTCTTTCTTCCTCTCCTCCCCCTTCCCCCCCCTCTCGAGCTCAACACGCGCCTCTCGCGGCTTTCCCAGTTCCTGGCGGAGTCCATGCCTCTCCCACACAGCTCTAAGCTCACTGTCGAAACTGCCTCTCTTTATCGCCCTCTCCTCCCTCTCCTCCCTCTCCCCCCTCTCCCCAGCTCAACACGCGTCTCTCCCAGCTCTCCCAGTTCCTGGCAGAGTCCACACCTCGCCTGCATTCTTTCTTCGAGGACCTGCAGCTTAAACCCGTGAGTTGACTCAGTCTGAGTTGACTTGCCTTGACTTGAGTTGACTAGATCTATTCATGTGCACTTGTGATGACTTTGCCTCGCCTGCATTCTTTCTTCGAGGACCTGCAGCTTAAACCCGTGAGTTGACTCAGTCTGAGTTGACTTGCCTTGACTTGAGTTGACTAGATCTATTAATGTGCACTTGTGATGACTTTGCCTCGCCTGCATTCTTTCTTCGAGGACCTGCAGCTTAAACCCGTGAGTTGACTCAGTCTGAGTTGACTTGCCTTGACTTGAGTTGACTAGATCTACTCATGTGCACTTGCGATGACTTTGCCTCGCCTGCACTCCTTCGAAGACCTGCAGCTCAAACCCGTGAGCCTATTGAGCATCACTTGAATTTACTTGACTTGAGTTGAGTTGACTCGCATGAGTTGACTTGCATGAATGAACTTGTGTTGCGTATGAGTTGAGTTGTCTATTCTTGCTTATTCGCCTCGCATGCACTCCCTCTTGAGGACCTTTGAGTCAAATCAAAGTTACTCACCTCGCATTCGCTCCTTCTTTGTGGGCAGGAGTTGACTGGTGGTCACTGGTTGACCACCAACCGACATCCTTATTGCCCCCTTTCCTCCCCCGCTGCCCTCTTCTCCATGCCTCCACCAGAGCATGTATGCAGCGGATTGGCTGCTCTCCCTATTCGCCCGCCACATGCCGCAGTACCTCGTGTATCGCGTCTTCGACATCGTGCTCGGTATGTGCCTCGTGTGGTGTGCTGTGTGCCTTGTGTGTTGCCTTGGACGCAATGTGTCCCTCTTCGCCCGCCACATGCCGCAGTACCTCGTGTATCGCGTCTTCGACATCGTGCTCGGTATGTGACTCATGCCCGCCCCATGCATGGTTCATCCATACCATACCTTGTGCCTCGTGTATTCCTAGATGCAACGTGATAAAAGAGAGTTTTTGAGACGTCTCAAAAACTCTCTATTATCACGTGGTGTGGCAACCTGCCACCTGCGCTGCGCCCAATGCCTCGGTACCTCATGAATGCACTGTGCCTTTGACATCATGCTCGGTATTAGACTGATACATGACTCGTGTAAGCCGTGTGCTCTTGTATGCAACAAGTGCCTCATACACTCCACTCATACCAGCTTCTCCATGTCGTCTCCTTGTCCTCCCATCCTGCCCACATCGCATCGCATCACACCACACCACACCACACCACACCACACCACATCACAACCACAGCTGAGAATACCATGTCAGTTGTGTTCAAGCTCGCTATAGTGCTGCTGCAGGTACGAATATTCAAACCACTAAAACCAATCATGGAACTGTTTGCACCCCTCGTTCTTCCTTCATTCATTAACCTCCCTCTTTTTTCGCGCGTAATTCCATTTGCCTCCCCAACTACCTCGTCTGAGGCACCTCAAAAGTTGTCTCCCACTGCCTATTTCTTCGCACTCTTATGCTCTTCTCCCCTCCGCCTCTTCTCACTCTTATGCTCTTCTCCCCTCCGCCTCTTCTCACTCTTATGCTCTTCTCCCCTCCGCCTCTTCTCACTCTTATGCTCTTCTCCCCTCCGCCTCTTCTCACTCTTATGCTCTTCTCCCCTCTGCCTGTTATCTTCTCCCCTCTGCCTGTTATCTTCTCCCCTCTGCCTGTTATCTTCTCCCCTCTGCCTGTTATCTTCTCCCCTCTGCCTGTTATCTTCTCCCCTCTGCCTGTTCTCTTCTCCCCTCTGCCTGTTCTCTTCTCCCCTCTGCCTGTTATCTTCTCCCCTCTGCCTGTTATCTTCTCCCCTCTGCCTGTTATCTTCTCCCCTCTGCCTGTTATCTTCTCCCCTCTGCCTGTTATCTTCTCCCCTCTGCCTGTTATCTTCTCCCCTCTGCCTGTTCTCTTCTCCCCTCTGCCTGTTATCTTCTCCCCTCTGCCTGTTATCTTCTCCCCTCTGCCTGTTATCTTCTCCCCTCTGCCTGTTATCTTCTCCCCTCTGCCTGTTATCTTCTCCCCTCTGCCTGTTATCTTCTCCCCTCTGCCTGTTATCTTCTCCCCTCTGCCTGCTATCTTCTCCCCTCTGCCTGTTCTCTTCTCCCCTCTGCCTGTTATCTTCTCCCCTCTGCCTGTTCTCTTCTCCCCTCTGCCTGTTATCTTCTCCCCTCTGCCTGTTATCTTCTCCCCTCTGCCTGTTATCTTCTCCCCTCTGCCTGTTATCTTCTCCCCTCTGCCTGTTATCTTCTCCCCTCTGCCTGTTATCTTCTCCCCTCTGCCTGTTATCTTCTCCCCTCTGCCTGTTATCTTCTCCCCTCTGCCTGTTATCTTCTCCCCTCTGCCTGTTATCTTCTCCCCGCCTTTCCCCTCCCGTAGGTCACCCGGCGTCAGCTAATGCTGTGTCCAGAGTTCGATTACTGTCTGCACTTCCTGCACTCTGAGCTGCCTCTGGAGCTCAATGTGAGTGAGTGAGTGAGTGAGTGAGTGCATGAGGAAGTGCCGGTAATGCCTGCACCGCACTGCCTGCACCGCACTGCCTGCACCGCACTGCCTGCACCGCACTGCCTGCACCGCACTGCCTGCACCGCCTGCACTGCCTGCTCTGCCTCTGGAACTCAATGTGCGTGAGTGGGTGAGTGAGTGAGTGAGTGAGTGAGTGAGTGAGTGAGTGAGTGGGTGAGTGAGTGAGTGAGTGAGTGAGTGATTGGGTGAGTGGGTGAGTGAGTGAGTGACTGGGTGAGTGAGCGCATGCGTGAGTGAGTGATGGTGATTGCCTCATTGCACCGAGCTTGAAAATGACGATACTGCTGCCTGCCGTGCCTGCCTTGCACTGCTGCACTGCACTGCACTGCACTCCGAGGTGCCCTTGGAACTCAGCGTGCGCCTGTCGCGTGTGAAAGTGACTGGTACACTCGTCGTCACATCACATCACACCCTCCTCTTTCCCGCCACTTCCCTCCTGTCCTCCCTTCCCTCCCAATCAGCTCCTCCCCGACAGGGAAGAGGAGGAGCTGGTGTCCAAGGCACTGAGGGTGCGCCTGCTTTCTGAGATTAGATTATTTGGCGCAGAACACCCTCCCCAGTTCCTTCCCTCCCTCTTTCTCTTCCCTCCCTCGCCCTGTTTCCCTCTCCCCATTTCCCCCAATCAGCTCCTCCCGGACAGGGAAGTGGAGGAGCTGGTATCCAAGGCTCTGAGGGTGCGCCTGCCATTTGAGAGCGTGCTGCGGCTGGAGGCAGGTGAGTGAGAGAGACCAGGGGGGAATGAGAGCAGGGGAAGCAGAAGGGGAGCAGGGGGTGGTCAGAACTGGGAAAGGCTGTATCGGGGCTTGGGAGTGCGGTAAGGTAGGTAGAGTGTGTCTCCAAGAGAGGCCCTGAGGGTGCGCCTGCCTGTAGTGAGGTGCATTTTGAGGCGCCTCAAAATGCACCTCACTACACGCGGGTGGTCAGAACTGGGAAAGGCTGTATCGGGGCTTGGGAGTATGGTAAGGTAGGTAGAGTGTGTCTCCAAGAGAGGCCCTGAGGGTGCGCCTGCCGTTTGAGAGAAGCAGGTGGGAGAGGGACGGGGGGTGGTTGGGACAAGGGACGGTCAGGACTGGGCGAGGTCCTATCTGGGCTAGGGAATAGCTGGGAATGTGAGAGGGACGAGGGAAAAGGCGAGACAGGAGGCGCAGGCTGCCGCAGCTTGCAGAGGCGTCGAGCCAACCATGTCGTTCCAATGCTTTCGTTCCATTCCCCCTTTCTTAAACACCAATGTACCGTACCCCCTTTGCAGAGTACGACCAGCTGGCGGGGGAAGCGGCGGTGGCAGCACAGGAGGTGCAGGCAGCAGCAGCAGCAGCGGCGGCCGGTCTCTCATCTCTGATCTCCCACCCTCCACTCTTTGCGAAACGCCCTTGTACCACCACCAACCCTGCTGAACACCCTTGTACCTCTATGCAGAGTACGACCAGCTGGCGGGGGAAGCGGCGGTGGCGGCACAGGAGGTGCAGGCAGCAGCAGAGGCGTCAAATCAACTATGCCTTGCTCCGGATTTCCACGCTGCCCCTTGAACGCCCATCTTCTGCCCTCTGTGCAGAGTACGACCAGCTGGCGGGGGAAGCGGCAGTGGCGGCACAGGAGGTGCAGGCAGCAGCAGAGGCGAGTGAGGTGGCTGCAGAGTCGTGGGAGCGCGACAGGCAGGAGATGGAGGGGGAGCTGCTGCACGCGCTCGAGGTGAGATGCCTTGGTGTCTGGCAGTTGTATGACTGGTGCTGCTACTGTCTTGAGGCGTCTCAAAACCCGTATCTCTGTCCTCTCTCCCAAATCCCACGTTCCCACTCCTTCCTGCCGCCACCAGCTACTGGGTTCACCTCAGGCATACCTCTCAGCGCTCCTCTCTCACTTCAAGACTTGAAACGTCTCATGCCCCCGGCCTTACTCCTTCCCCCTCTCCCAACCACCCCCCTTCCCCCCATCAGCTACTGGGTTCATCCCAGACATACCTCTCGGCGCTCTTCGCTCACTTCAAGGCTGTGCAGGCCCGTGCCGGCCCCACCAGACAGCTCAGCGCTGCTGCTGCTGGTGCTTCCAACCCTGATGTTTCCAAGTCTGACCCACCGGTTGCTGCTGGGTCTGCCGAACCTGCTCCTTCTGAGCCTGCCAAGTCTGCCACTGCTGGGTCTGCCGAACCTGCTGTTGCTGAGTCCGCCGAACCTGCAATTGCTGAGTCTGCCGAAACTGCTGCTGTTGAATCTGTCGAGCCTGCCGCTGCTAAGTCTGCCGAGCCTGCCGTTGCGGAGTCTGCCGAACCTGCCGCTGTTGAATCTGCCGAACCTGCCACTGCTGAGTCTGCCGAGCCTGCTGTTGCGGAGTTGTCTGCTGAGCCTGTTGCTGCTGAGACTGCCGAGCCTGCCTCTGCTGGTTCTGCCGAACCTGCCGCTGCTGAGTCTGCCGAGCCTGCTGCTGCTGCTGAATCTGCAGAACCCGCAGCTGCCGAGTCTGCCGAACCTGCTGCCGCTGAGACTGCTGAACCTGCTGCTGCTGAGTCTGCCGAACCTGCTGCTGCTGAGTCTGCCGAACCTGACGTTGCTGAGTCTGCCGAGCCTGTCGCTGCTGAGTCTGCCGAGCCTGCCGCTGCTGAGTCTGCCGAACCTGCTGCCACTGAGTCTGCTGAACCTGCTGCTGCTGGTTCTGCCGAACCTGCCGCTGCTGAATCAGCCGAGCCTGCTGCTGCTGCTGGGTCTGCTGAACCTGCTGCCTCTGAATCTGCCGAACCTGCTGCAGCTGAATCTGCCGAACCTGCCCCTGCTGAGACTGCCGAACCTGCTGCTGCTGAGAGTGTCAAACCCACTGCTGCTGAGTCTGCCGAACCTGCCGCTGCTGAGTCTGCCGAGCCTGCCGTTGCTGTGTCTGCAGAGCCTGTTGCTGCTGCGACTGCCGAGCCTGCCTCTGCCGAGCCTGCCTCTGCCAAACCTGCCGCTGCTGAGTCTGCCGAGCCTGCTGCTGCTGATGAATCTGCCGAACCTGCCGCTGCTGAGACTGCCAAACCCGCTGCTGCTGAGTCTGCCGAAACTGCCGCTGCTGAGTCTGCCGAGCCTGCCTCTGCCGAACGTGCCGCTGCTGAGTCTGCCGAGCCTGCTGCTGATGCTGAATCTGCCGAACCTGCTGCCGCTAAGCCTGCCGAACCTGATGCTGCTGAGACTGCTGAACCTGCTGCTGCTGAGTCTGGCGAGCCTGCCGAACCTGCTGCTGCTGAGTCTGCCAAAACTGCTGCTGCTGAGTCTGTCGAGCCTGCCGAACCTGCTGCCGCTGAGTCTGCCAAACCTGCCGTTGCTGAGTTTGCCGAACCTGCCGCTGCTGAGTCTGCCGAGCCTGTCGCTGCTGAGTCTGCCGAACCTGCTGCTGCTGAGGCTACCAAGCCTGCTGCTTCTGAGTCTGCTGAACCTGCAGCTGCTGAGTCTGCCGAACCTGCCGCTGCTGAGGCTGCCGAGCCTGTCGCTTCTGAGTCTGCCGAACCTGCTGCTGCTGAGTCTACCAAGCCTGCTGCTTCTGAGTCTGCCGAACGTGCAGTTGCTGAGTCTGTTGAGCCTGCCAGCAATGAATCGGCACAGATAGTTGCTGTGGAGTCTGCCGAGCCTGCTGCCGCTGATTCTGCCGAACTTGTCGCTGTTGAGCCAACCGAATCTGCCACTGCTGAGCCTGCCGAACCTGCTGCTGATACTACCAAACCTGCCACTGATGATCCTGCCGAACCTGCCGCTGTTGAGCCTTCTAAACCTGCTGTCTCAGAGTCTGCCGAGCCTGCGGTTGCCGAGCCTGCTCAGCCTGCTGAGCCTGCTGCCGATTCTGTGGAACCAGCATCCAATGCTCTGCCTGCCTCTTCAGAGGCACTCAATCCTGATTCTCAGCAGACAGGTCCTCAAGCTGCTGCCCCTCAAACTCACCCAGTCTCGCTTCCCTCAGACTCCAAATCCTTCTCCCTTCCCGACCTCCCACCTCTTCCCGAGCCTCCGACTCCTCCCGAACCTGCCCAGCCTCGGCCGCTGGTGGTTCGGATCCCAGGCCTGGAGCCCGGAGCTGACATCAGCAGCATGTCCACCGCCGCTTTGCTAAGCGCGGTGGCGACGCTTAGGAAGCAGAGGGCAGCAGCGGAGGCGGCACTTATGGCAGCAGAGCAGCAGCTTATGGAGTGTATCAGGAGTGATAATGCAGCGATTGATGCATGCCTGAGGGGGCAGGCTATGAGGGCGAGGAAGCGGCAGTTGGTTGGGCGCAAGGGAAGTGGGTCTGGTGTGGGGTGCTGAATGGTATATTTTGCATTGACCCAAGGTGTACCTCAGGAGCGATAATGCAGTGGTAGATGCGTGGCTGAGAGTGACACATTGCAACTCGAATGTTAAGGGCTTTTTACAATGTATACAAGTTGGAAGCTCCAGGTGGGGAGGAGAGCAAATGGGGTGATGGTGATGTGAGATTGCTGGGTTTCAAGTTGACTAAGTTATTGCTATGTTTCTGTTCAGAATGCCAAGCCTATTACCAGTATCCCCATTCTGTTTTGTTCAATTCATCACACTGTACTCATGTATCATGCTTCGTGAGAGTGTGCTGCTGGAGATGTTTTGCTCTTGTCGGCTGTATTGTACCAGCTTCATAGAACCGTACTCGTTACTTGCCCACCAGTTCGGGAACGAGAAGGTGTTTCCAGACAGTCCCATTCTGTTGTCAATTCTTGCCAAAGAGTACCAGGGGAGCATCCTCCCATGCAAAACAGCTAAGGGGACAAAAGCAAAAGTGGGGGTGCTCCGAGAATCGAACTCGGGACCTCTCGCACCCGAAGCGAGAATCATACCACTAGACCAAGCACCCGATGTCAGCATGTTTCCTGTAATATATTTTAAAATAATACTAATTGTAGCTTCACCTTGAAGCCTCTTTTCATGATTATCCTTTCCCGCGATCTGACCGGACACCATGAAGCGACGAGCCGGCAGTGCGAGCAACTCTCGCGCGCGTAAGAAGCGCGATCAGGGAGAGGCGGTCGACCCTCTTCTCCTCGCCTTCAGGTACTTCCCGCCGTAGCTCTAACCTCTCCTGCATTTTCTCTGTTTCCTCTGTTTTTTATATTTTTTATAACATAATTTCTCGCTCTGACACGCCTTTTATGTGCGACGTTTCCAATGTCACTCTGATTGCCGGTGCGTGCAGGGAAATAGCAACCACCGTTACAGTCACATCTAAGCAACGCGACATCGCATTCCGCGTGTCGTCTCCCGTCTGCCATGGCTGTCGAGTCAACTCCAAGGATAACCCCAACTGTTTCTGCTGCCTCGCCCCGCTTCCCGGAACCTTCCGCAAACGCGGCTTATGGCGGAATATTTCGAACCATACGCGTGAGGCAGACGATCTTTCCGCGGAACTTCGCGAATCCACGTCATCCCCCGTAGGATTGACCAATCTCGGCGCGACCTGCTACATCAACAGCATCCTCCAGTGCTTATATCGAATCCCGGGTTTCCTGCGCGGATTCTTCGCCACGGATGACGTCACCCTACGTCAGCACCCGGTCCTGTTAGAGTTAGCTCGCATTTTCGTCAATCTGACGGTTGGCTGCCGGTCAGTGGTGAATCCGTCAAAGTTGACGGACGTCCTTCAGTTAGACAGTGACGTGCAGCAGGACGGTCAGGAATTTATGAAACTCTTTCTCTCCCTCCTAGAATCCCTCCTCTCCTCCTCCTCCCTTTCCTCCTCCCTCCTTTCCTCCTCCTCTAACGCATCTTCCATCCTTGTACCCTCTGCCAATGGGCCAGCCAATCCCGTGCTGCCAGGTGGCTTTCTGGCGCATCTGTTCCGAGGGACGTACTCCTATGTGACCACGTGAGTGGCTTGTGCTTGCCACGTGAGTGGCTTGTGCTTGCCACGTGCAACCCTCTGTTGCTTTGCCTTAAAGCATGTGTTAGCACGTGTGCCTGTTTCCTCAATCGTGTTGTAAACCCATCCTTCCACCACATTATTCCGCACCCCATCACGCCACACCCCACCCCACCCCACTCCACCCCACCTCACCCCACCAGATGCTGCGAGTGCGGACAGCCGTCAGCCTCGTCCTCCCGCCTCGTTCCCTTCTATGAGCTCGAATTGCCCTTGCACACTCCAGCACAATCATCAGCACCACCAGCAGCGCCTCCCCAGACGAAGGGACCTCTCAAACGCAAGGCCAAGGGAGGAGCAGCAGCGTCAGCAGCAGCAGCAGCAGCAGCAGCAGCGGCAGCAGGGGAGAGGGCCGGTGTGTCAGTGCAGCAGTGTCTTGAGCGTTACACAGCAGAGGAGCGGCTGGAGGGTGGTAACCAGATGTGCTGCGAGCAGTGTGGGCGGAAAACGGACGCCACAAGGAGGGTGTGCATTCGCGGCGTGCCGCCCGTGCTGAACCTGCACCTCATGCGCTTCGTATTCGATGCTAAGGTAGGTTAATATGGGGGTGATGAGCTTGTTAGGGTGGTAAGTAGATGTGCTGCGAGCCGTGTTCGATACGGGAGGGTGTGCATGCGTAGCGTGCCGCCCATATTGAACTTGCACCTCATGCGCTTCGTGTTTGATGCCAAGGTGTGTGTAAGGTGGTACAGCTGTCCAAATGTAAGATTAGAGTACCAAGATGTCGTCTCAAAGGCAACTGACTGAACAATAAACAACCCCAAACCCTGATTACTGAGTCGTCTCAAAGCAACTGTGTATCTGTGTTTATATGTGCTGTTGTGTCCCCACACAGACGATGAGCAAGAAGAAAGTCACATCAGGGGTGCGCATTCCTCTCACTCTCGACCTCTCACCGTACGTTCAACCTAGTGTTGATTCCTTCAAAGAAGCAGGCGGGCCTCTGGCAGAAAAACCTGCAGAAGCAGCAGCAGCAGCATCAGTAAGGGCAGGAGGGGAAGGGGTTGGAGGAGGGGTGGGAGGAGCAGGGGTAGAGAGTAAAGCAGGGGGGTGTGCTGCCGGTGATGAAAAGCCAAGGGTAGGGAAGCGAGGCTGTAGGAGGATTGGAGATAGAGGGGAAGAATCCAGGCAATGGGGCGGGGGAAAGAGGCGAGGTATTGCAGCAAGAAGGGGAGGAAGAGGAGGAGGGGAAGAAGCGGGAGAAGGAAAGAAAGAAGTGGGAGAAGGAAAGACAGAAGCTGGAGAAGGAAAGGCAGAAACAGGGGAAGGAAAAGCAGAAGCAGGAGAAGGAAAAACAGAAACAGGGGAAGGAAAGACAGAAATAGGAGAAGAGCAAAGAACAGCAGAAGATGCAGCGGAAGCTAGTCAGAAGACGTCCGAGCCTCCTAGACCTAGTCTTAAGTACCAGTTAGTAGCGATTCTGCAGCACAAGGGCAGCCAGGCGTCATGCGGGCACTATGTGGCTCATGTGAAGGACGTGCGGAGTGGGCAGTGGTGGTTGTTCAATGATGAGGAGGTGGTGCGACTGGGCCGACACCCCATGGGGGAGGAGAAAGGTGGGAAGAAGGGGGAGGGGAAGGGGGAGGGGAAGAAGGCTGAAGTGGGGACTGAGAAAGGGGCTGTTGAGGTGTCTCGAGACGCGCATGTGAAGGACGTGCGGAGTGGGCAGTGGTGGCTTTTTAACGACGAAGAGGTGGTGCGACTGGGCCGACACCCCATGGGGGAGGAGAAGGGGGAGAAGGGGGAGAAGGGGAATGAAAAGAAAGTTGCGAAGGGTGCTGAGAAGGGGGTTGAGGAACGGGTTTTTGAGGTGTCTCAAAGTGCAAAGGGTGAGGTGAAAGGTACTGAGAAAGGTGCTGAAACCTTGGCCTTTGAGCCATCTGAGAACGCAATGTTGTTGAAGGGGAAGGTGGCTGAAAGGGTAGGAATGCAGCTGGTTGGGGAGGCGGTGGGGTGCGCAGAGAGGAATGGCAGGGATAATGACACCCCACTCTGCGATGAAGGCGGTGGAGGCGAAAGGACAGGAGCAGGAAGAGATGAAGCAGGGGCATCAGCAGGGGAGATAGAGACAACAAGAGAAGTGGGGGCAGCAGGAGAAGAAGTAGGAGAAGCAGGGAAAGGGACAGCAGGGGCAGTAGGGGAAGGAGCAGCTGGGGAAGGGGCAGCTGGGGTAGGAGCAGCTGGGGAAGGAGCAGCTGGGGAAGGAGCAGCTGGGAAAGGAGCAGCTGGGGAAGGGGCAACAAGAGATAAGTCTGATGGGACTGGTAGGCGGGTTGGGTGTGATGATACGACTGACTTGACTGGTGGGAAGAGCGAGGGGACTTCAGATGTCTGTGACCCTCATCCGATTGATCTTGACGAGGGAATCAACAACACTGATGGGACTGGCCCTCAGTCCTTTCAGGGCCCTGAAAGGACTGACCCTCATCCGATTGACCTTGATAGCACTGACCCTCAGGGGAATGACCCCCATCGGGTTGACCCTCATGGCGCTACTGACCCTGATTTGATTGACCTTGATGAGATTGACCCTGTTTCAATTGACTTGGATCGGATTTCAGACGACGTAGATGCGAAGAAGCGTCACCCACCTTCGCTTGGTCCGCAAAAGCGTCGCCGAGTGGGCCGACAACGAGGCCCCGAGTCGTTTCTCAAGGCCGCTCCTGAGATTCCACCTGAAGAACCACCTGAGTGCCCTGGCAAGGCGCCTCTGAAGAAGCAGATCTCGTTGCTGGCGGATTCCGTTGCTGCTCCACCTGGAAAAGCACCTGTAAGGCAACGGCGATCCGCGTCCCAAGCTCAACATGTGGCAGCAACAAGCAAGAAGCCAGAGGCGGTTTGTAACGGTGTGCATGGTGCGGAGAGTGGTGGTGGGGAGTGCGGGCCGGGTGGTTCCAGGAAAGGGGGGACTGCAGTGAACGGTGGTCGAGAGGGGCTGGGGGAAGGAGGGGGAGAGGAGGTGACGTCAGCAGATGCATACATGCTGATATACGTGCGGGAGGGCTTTGGGGAAGGTAGTGTTACAGGGATAGTTACAGGGAAGGTTGCTGATATACATGCTATGGGGGTAGCTCCTGGATTAGCAGCGGAGGCAGGTGGATTGGAGTGTGAGGGAGCTGAAATGGGGGATGGGAACTCACGTGAACCAACAGCAAAAGCACCTGATGCGGCTGTGAAGGCACCTGAAACAACAGCAGCAGCATCTGATGCGGCTGTCAAAGCACCTGAAACGACTGCAGAAGCACCTGATGCGGCTGTTAAAGCACCTGAAACGACTGCAGCAGAAGCACCTGACGCGGCTGTTAAAGCACCTGAAACGACTGCAGCAGAAGCACCTGACGCGGCTGTTAAAGCACCTGAAGCCAGTGCGGGAGCAGCCAAGAAAGAAAATGTATTTTTCCTGGGAGGTGACTGTGTCCCTCTGCCCCAGTTTCTCGTAGACGAGGTGACTAAAACGAATGCTGCTTTTCGGCAGCAGTGTGAGGAGCAGAGGCGATGGGACGAGGAAACGAGGAGGGGAATCGAGGAGAGGAGGAGCGAGGTCCGAAACGTGCTCTCCCTGATGCCTGTCGGTACGGGAGTGGAAGGAACGGGAGGAAGGAGAGACGGGGAGAAGGAGGAGAAGCAGGAGGCGGAAGGGGAAGCGGAGGAGTTTTTTTGGATCAGCACGGAGTGGCTCAAGGCGTGGGCTGATAGCGAGGACCTACCGTGAGTCATGCACACACACACTACGACCGTTTTTTGAGGTGCCTAAAAAAAAGCCGCAGAGTCATCCGAGAGATTCGCCTTCACAACCGCACATCTCCACATCTCCACACCCCAACAATTCACCTGTCTGCTCCCCCTCCGCACCCCCTTTTGAGGCGCCTCAAAAGTCTGCTCCCCCTCCGCACCCCCTTTTCGTGCTCGTGTTGTCGATGTGTCTCCATCCTCTCCTCGTCATATCCTCCGTGTTCTGCAGAGGCCACATCGACAACACCCCTCTCCTATGTCCTTCGCACGGGCTGGTGCCCCGTGCGAGCCTCCCTCTCATGAAACGAATATCCTCCATCGCATGGGCCATGCTGCACTCCCAGGTACGCGTGAGCGTGAGCATCTCTGTGGGTGAGCAAGGTGGGCACAGAAAGAGCAGCTGAAGAATGTTGCACCCTGAGCAAGAGTGTTCCACCCACCCGCCACCGGCTGGTGCCTCGAGCGGCCCGGCGTGCTTCTCGTGAAGCGGGTATGCCCCATCGCATGGGCCATGCTAGACTCGCAGGTACGCGTGAGCATCTCTGCGTGAAGTCTGCCCACGGATTGGAGCCTTTTTTTTTAGTCGACTCAAAAATAGTCTGCCCACGGGTTGGAGCCTTTTTTTTTAGTCGACTCAAAAATAGTCTGCCCACGGGTTGGAGCCTGCCTCGAGCCAGCCTACCTCTCGTGAAGGGGGTATCACCTGCAGCATGGGCCATGCTCGTTTCCAAGGTACACCTGACCCTTGAGTTATCTCAAAAGACGATTTTTGAGGCGCCTCAAAACTGAGACGATTTTTGAGGCGCCTCAAAACTGAGACGATTTTTGAGGCGCCTCATAAATGGGCCATGCTCGTTTCCAAGGTACACCTGGCCCTTGAGTTTTCCCAAAAGCCTCCATGCTCCTCATCAAGATGCGTTGGCTCCGTGTGTAAGCTTTACAGCGGCTTCTTGTGAGTCAACTCAAAAAGCACACCGGGTTTCTGAAGAGGCCACATTGACAGCTCTGCTCACCTGTTTCTGTTTCCTGTTCACTGTTGAATGCATTGCAGAACAGGAACAGTGCAATGGCCTGCCCCTCTGCCAGGAACGCTGTTCGCCCATAGTGTCTGCTCCCAGAGGCACTTGCAGCCATGTGCACGCCCAGACTCTAACCAAAATACCACTCGCTCTGTCCTGTTTCTGTTTCTACTTACATTTCTGTTTGTTATTATGTTACCCTGTTGTTGATTGCAGTACGGCAGGGGTCCGCCTATCTCTCAGGCAGCGGGCTGCTGCGAGTGCCTGGTGGCAGCGGCGCTGGCTGGAAGACAAACCATATATGTTCTTGCTGTTATAACATTGTTTTATTTCGTTATAAGGTTGCTGGAAGACATTTTTGAGGCGCCTCAAAAGTCGCCTCAAAAGTCGTCTGGAAGACAAACCACATATGTTCTTGCTGTTACAACATTGTTTTTATTTTGTTATAAGGTTGCTGGAAGACAACCCTTTCCGCCGTTGTTTTTGCTTCTGTTCCTGTCAACTTGTTGCTTGCTGATCGCAGTATGGAGGTGGCCCGACCCTATCCCAGGCAGCGTGCTGCTGCGAGTGCCTGGTGGCAGAGGCTTTAGCAGCAGTGAGTGCAGGCAGCTACAGGGAGGAGAGGGCGCGTGTGCGACTGCTGGTGGAAGAAAACATCAAAGGAAGGGGCCTGGAGGGACTGGGATACTATGTCTCCAAGCCATGGTGAGTGCGTGCATGTGTGCACCCCTTATTCTTCCTCCCAGCCTTCCCCCTCCCTCCTCCTCCCTCTACAAGTTTCCCAACCACAGTATCTATCACTACCCCATTTTCCCTTTGGGTTGATCAACGGGCTCTTTGAGACGTTTCATATCAACACCCCCTTTCCCGCCTCCTCCCATCCCCGCCTCCCCCTCCCCCCCCTCCTCCTCCCGCCTACTCAGGCTGAACAACTGGCTGAGGAGGACAAAGGCTGATGCCCCAACTGCGGCTGACAGCAACCCCCTGGGCGGCATTGTTTGTCCTCATCAGGGGTTGATGCCGGAGGGTAGAGGTGGGGAGGCAAGGAGGGCCGTTGTGAGCAGGGAGGTGTGGGGATGGCTGAAACGGTGGGCGGAGGAGGGGAGGAGGCGAGGAGAGGAGGAGAGAGTGAAAGAGGCGGAGGAGAGAGCAAGGGAGGAGAGTAAGAGTTTGCAAGAGGGGGATAAGAGCTTGAGGAAGGAGGAAAGTTCGAGTGAAGGGGAGCATTGTACGGGTAAGGAAGAGGGAAGGTCTCTAGTGAGCAATGGAGCAGAGACCAAGGAAGCTGCGATCACAGAGATCAAGGACGAGAAAGAAGAGAAAGAAGAGGCAGTGGCAGAAGCAAAGGGTGGGTCCAAGCCTCCTCACCCTGCTTCTTCAAGTGCTGAGATTGCACTGCACAGTCCCGCGTTACTTCAGACGGGAAGTCACAGCCAGTTGTTGGAGTTCCCAGCTTCAACTGCAGAGTGTGCCGTGTGCGTGGCAGCAGCAGCAGAGGCAGCTGAGCAGGCTGATGCACTGAGTCTCGTGCAGCAGCAGCAGCGCCAACAATTCCTCCGCCTCTTTTCCCTCCGCCCCCTCCCCCTCTCCCTCCCCTCGTGCCCCACCACTTCCCCTCGCCTCTCCTCCCGCTCCCCACCCTCCTCTCCATCCCCACCCTCTAAGCACGAGGAGCCTGTTTCTGAGGCGCCTACAAAGCAAGAAGAGCCCATTGAGCACCCCGACAAGATCATCCCCTCCTCTGAGGCGCCTCAAAAGCAAGAGGTCATCCCCTCACGCTCTGAGTCTGAGTTCCCCTACGCGCTCATCCCCTCCTCCTGGGTCGCCCTCTGGCGTGCCTTCCTCTCCGCCCCGCCTACTGCCACCAAGTCTGCAGCTGCAGGGGCTGCAGGGTGTGACGGAGGGGCTTTTGAGAATTCTCAAAAGTCACTCCAATATAGAGGGGCTGTCACAAGCAAAGAGTCAGCAGCAGCTTGTCAGCAATCCCCTCCCAGCCTGGAGGGAGCACTGAGGGCCGTGCGGTGTCAGCAGCATGGGGGCCTGGTTGCCCCGCTGCCAGCACTGGTTAGCAGCAGGAAGGGCGAGCTGCTTCAGGCAAATGCAGAATCTGTGAGTATCCCTTCCTTAGTAGAACACACACGTGATGATAGGTTTGTGTTGAGACGTCTCAACGCCCCTCCCCGTGAGGCACTGCAGCACCTGCAGGGGCAGCAGCATGTCAGCAGCCTCTTCCCAGTTTGGAGGGGGCACTGAGGGGCATGAGGTGTGAGCAGCATGGCGGTTGCGCCACTGCCGGCACTGGTTAGCAGCAAAAAGGGCGAGCTACTTCAGGCAAACGCAGAGTCTGTGAGTATCCCTTTCCTGTTTTGAGACGTCCCGAAGTGTTTTCCCAGTTTGGAGGGGCACTGAGGGCCGTGCGGTGCGAGCATTATGGGGGCTGGTGGCCCCGCTGCCAGTATTGGTTAGCAGGAGGAAGGGCGAGCTACTTCAGGCAAACGCGCGTCTGTGAGTATCTCTCCCTTAGTAGAACACACACGTAGCTATCCATTTGTTTTGAGACGTCTCAAAGGCCCCCCTCCCTGTCTAGAGGGGACACTGGGGGCCAAGTTTTTTTAGATGAGAAATATAGATTTTGTTTTCATCTGGTTATGTGTGCACCTGCAAAAACATCACTCATCCGTTTGCTACAGGACAACCACATAAATGTGTTGAAAATGAGGAAATTGGAGGAAGCGGGGAGGTCGACATTTTTTTGGCCAGCTGTCACTAGGAGAGAGAAAGCATCATGCAATCAGGGCTCTCCCATAAGCTACAAAGTTGACTTTTGAGTCGACTCAAAAGTCAACTCATTTTGTTGGTTAGCTGTCGCTAGGAGAGAGAAAGCATCATGCAATCAGGGCTCTCCCATAAGCTACAAAGCCACCAGAGCTCACCGCACCAATAGGCTACGCCACAGCCAAGGCGCTGAAACATTTCATCTTGCGCAAGCTTGAGTCGAACCAATGGTGGTGGTGGTCCATGTTTCACAAACGGGCTTTAGGGCGTGACCCCACTTGTCCAGCGACCGCAGGGCTGACCTCAAAGGCAACCCACGCGCTGAATCCATCGATGACTCCGCGAGTGATGAGTCGATTTTTGAGTCGGCTCAAAAAAAGGCAACCCACGCGCTGATTTCCAAGCGCCTTACGATGGATCCATCGATGACTCCTCGATTGCCTGACGTAAAGAACCAATTTGATGTCGCCATGGATTATACAAATCCCAGAACCAATTCGATGTTGCCAGCTGTCATTGTGAGAAACCACGCCACGAGAGCTCACGGTTTGTTGTGAGGGTTGACAAGCAAGCTCGAAACTGGAGAGCATGGCAGGCAGGTGGCGGTTGATGATGGCTGAAGGCGCGAGGCGATGGGGTCCCAAGGGGCGTCGCAACCACCCCAAGTGTCCGTGGTTGCGCCCAATTGGCCTGAATTTCAGGCCCACGCTCGAACTATAGGTCTGCCCACTTTCTTACCGTACATCCATCTAAACATACAGCTTTGCGTGCTCCCGCAGCTTCCCCCGCTACTCCTACAAGCTCTAGGCTTGGAAGACTTTTTTCAAGCGACATGGCTCGGGTGGTTTAAGTGGTGCTGGCGGCAAGATTGTGATTACTGCTGTGACAACGTTCGTAAATGCTTTCCTCAGCAAAGATCCTTCGTCCATCAACGACAATAACATAGAATGGCAATCAAAGCATGGATGTGATATGCACTTCTTCATGACTTGATGCATGCATATCACATCCATGTTTTGATTGCCATACTATGTTATTGTCGTTGATGGACGAAGGATCTTTGCTGAGGGGAGCAGTCACGAACGTTGTCACAGCAGCAGTCACAATCATTGTGAGCATCCATGCTGCCGCCAGCACCACTTGGACCACCCGAGCCCTGCCGCTTAAAGCTTAAGTCCCAAATTACGAAGCGCGCAGGGCAAGATTACTAATCTTGCTCAACTGGCGTTTTGGGTGCTGTATTTTGGCGAATTTCTGGTTACAGTATGTACGAAGCAATTCTATTGGTCGAGGCCTAACACAGGGCTAAAACTTCAAGTTTCAGCTTTCTGCAATTTGGGACTCGAGGTCTCAAACAGGCAATTGGCCCCAGAGTTTGCTGACTCAGCGAAAAACCACCTGAGTGTTGCGAAATCAGGCAACGCGTCTTTCCCAAACCACCCAGCCCTCAGACTTGCGCAAGCTTACTAAACTTGTGCAATTTGGTCCGCGAGCTTTAAAAGGTTATTTTAAACGATGTTATTTTCTTTATTTGGTAAGGTTCGCAGAGGATTTCGAAGTTATTGTCCATGTATTGCTTAAAAGGCTCTTTAGAACATAAGAAGAGCTTCCTGAAATGGGAAAACATTTTGTGTAAGTAACCTCAAGAAGCTCCAATGGATTCTGAAGACCCTTTCAAGCAATACCTGGACAACAACTTTGAAATATGTAAGACCTTACCAAATCAAGAAAATTAACCTTGCGCAACGAATTCCCAGGACTGTAATGGACATATCCAGCAGATTTATGTGGTTGTGAATCGTGAAATGAAACGATTTCGGAGGCACGTTCTGTCCCCTTCATCCATCCACACAACTTTTCATCCCTCTTGGCACAATCCCTCCCCATCCCCACACCCCTCTTTATCACTCCCCTTACCTCTGTACCCCTGTGACACTTCAGGAGCCCTTCACTATAGTCACACGGTCAGAATGGGGCGAGCTGAGCAGCCAGTGGGGCGGCACGCCCACCTCTGCCATCCGCGCGCGAATCAAATCAAATCTTCCCTCCAACAACCATGCACCTGATACTAAATCTTCACAAAGTCAGAAATCCACTGTGGGGAAGAGCCGTGGAGACCAATCCTTCCCCAGCCCATATTGCCTGGAAACCAGCCCTCCTTTGTGTCACATCTGCTACAAGAATCCAGAAGAGATCGCAAAGGAAGAGGAGAGGGCTATGAGGGAGGAGTTACAGAGGGGGGATTACAGGGAAGAGGAGATACTGGTTGAGCTGGTGAGGGGATTTGAGCCTCCTCCCTCTGTTGTTGCGTCTACGTATGGGTTCCCACCTCTAGCTGTGTCACGCCGGTTTGCGTCTGCTTCCTCCTCTGCTGCCGGTGCTGCTGCTGGTGATGCCGCTAGTACTGCTAGTGTTGTTGGTGATGCTAGTGCTAGTGCTGCTGGTGCTGCTAGTGATCTTGCTGCTGCTGCTGCTGCTTCTGCCAACGGCAATGATACCAATATTCTTCCAGGTGAAAAGCTCAGTCCGCCACTGCTGGCAGCGGCACCACAGGCCAAGACAACAAAAACAGGATTACCAATGGCTAGACTACAGAGACGGCCACTGCGAACGGGGGGATGCCGTGTGGCAATAAGAGTATCAGGCTCAACCACCCTGCACCAGCTGAAGCTGCAGATCTGGGAGTCCCTGGGAGTGGTTCCTGAGAACCAGCGCATTGGATTCAGCACTGTTGAAATCACTGCGCTGCGTGGCCGCGAGAGGGTTTCTCATAAGGCCGTGTCTCATGAGTCCCTGGAAGTGGTCCCTGAGAACCAGCGCATTGGGTTTGGCACGGAGGAAGTTACTGATTTGGAGGAGCATGAGGGTGTGTCGATGGTGCAAGCTGGAGTGTTTGCGGGTGCCCGGCTGTGGGTGGTGGATTCTAAAGTGCACAAGGACAGGGACATTGCAGGTAAATGGGTTTTTGTTTTGTGATTTTATTCTATTTTTTCCCCGAAAGCCAGATAGCTTGAGCTGGTGAATCCGAAATGCTTAAGGCTTATGGTTTGGGTGGTTGTGGGTTTTTATTAGCTCTTCTCAAGTTCTTACACCCTATGCCCCGTAATCTCAAGTTGCTCACCCTAGTCACCCCAGATTGCCGCTCACTTCCTTTCTCCTGCAATTTCTCCTCGCCCTTCCCTCTCCCCTGCCTTCTTCCGTCAGAGGAGCTCGCAGTTGTGGATGACACGCAGAAGGAGGAAGCAGGTTTCAAAGGCACAGGCCTGGCTGGTAGTTTTTGCATCGACTCAAAAGCAGACCCAAAACGCCGCTCACTTCCTTTCTCCTCCCGCAATTTCTCCTCCCTCTTCCCTCTCCCCCGCCTTGTTCCATCAGAGGAGCTCCCAGTTGTGGATGACACGCAGAAGGAGGAGGCAGGTTTCAAAGGTACAGGTCTGGCTGGTAGTTTCCTCCCTGTAACTATTTTTCCAGTAGCAAGCGCAGCAACGGTTGGAGCAGACACAGCAACGGTTGCAGCCGAGGGCATTAAGTCGGGTGCACATGATGCCGCGGATGGTCATGTAGTCCTGTAGCATGGTTTGTATAATTTGACATCTCCCTCCACCATTTAGCAAGTCCGTTCCATCCAAACCACCCCCCATTTTTTGCATTGAAAGAAACTTGAAAGTGCAATGGGTACATCTTACAAGCCTAAAGGTGACATGATAACACTGTCATGTGCCAGCCAAAAGTACCTGGTAGAAATGTACATAGTTCTAGGATTGCAATCCAACACATTGCACCCAGCCAGACCCTCTACACACCCCCGCCCTAACCTTCTATTCCTGCTTCACATTTCCTTGCAGCATACCATTCCGAATCTGGGCAGAAATGTCAGCAATCTGAGAAGGTGCATGAGGAATGAACACTGTGTTGCTCTTGGCCGACGCTCCTATATCCATCATAGTGTCAAAGTACTGCGTTACAAGCACCATATCCAACACATCCTTGGGAGTTGTTCCCACCACTTCATGTGAGAATGTGAGGACACTCTCTCTCAGCCCATCCACAATAGCCTGCATGGGTGGGTGCCATGGGAAATCAAGCAATAGCTCAGTACGTGGCAACGACATCTCGCAAAATTTGTCAAATTAGAACGCTTGCTTCATGAAACATGTAGCAGGATGACTTCCGTACGGTACATACCTGCCTCTGCCGAGCCACACCAACACCGGAGAGGTACTTTGCCTCGGCATCAGCCTCGGCGCGCTTCACTTGAAGAATCTTCTCAGCCTCTGCCTTCTCCTGTGCTGCCATGCGCATGCGCTGAGCTGCTCTCCGCATTGAGGCGAGAAAGGGAAATACAACACAGTAAGAGAGCAGAGAGAACTAGAGAATAAAAGGAACTGGTGAGGAAAGGAAGGAAATACAGAGCGGCAGCCAGCCTCACATGACAGGAAATGGACAGTGAGCAGAGAGCAATGGCTTTACCAGCATTGATTTCGTTCATGGCTTTGCGCACGGTTGCGTCAGGTTCGATGTCCACAATGAGGGTCTGCTGAATGGTGTAGCCATACGCTGTCATCACCTGTGACAACAGGATAGGAGCAGCAAAGCAGCAGGGAATAATACAAAAAGCAGGCGTCAGGTTCAATGTCCACAATGAGATTCTGCTGAATGGTGTAGCCATACGCTGTCATCACCTGTAACAACAGGATACCGAGGTTTAGATTAGAAGCAGCAGAGCAGCATGTTTAAAAAAAAAGAAAGGGGACTTGTCAGCAAGGGAAATTGTCAGCGCACCCAAACTTGAGACAAAGCGGAGGTAACCGAGTAGAAGATGCCATACAGGGCGTATTTAAAGTACACATAAAAAGGTGAGTTCTGAATCGACTCAAAACACAGTTTGTGACAAACGGGAGGTAATGCCTAAGATAACAAAACCCACCAGTAATCTACACTCCTTGAAACCTCGTGCATGAAGCTTACCTTTTCAAGCTCCTCCTCCACATTCTTTGCAATCTCGTTCTTCTGTTCAAACACTTGATCCAGCTCAATGCGGGGGACACTGGCTCGCACCACTGTAATGGGATCCGCACACCAGGGGTAAAATGTGCATCATGCATGCATGGACGCACACCAGGGGCAAAACGTGCATCATGCATGCATGGACGCACACCAGGGGTAAAACGTGCATCATGCATGCATGGACGCACACCAGGGGTAAAACGTGCATCATGCATGCATGGACGCACACCAGGGGTAAAACGTGCATCATGCATGCATGGACGCACACCAGGGGTAAAACGTGCATCATGCATGCATGGACGCACACCAGGGGTAAAACGTGCATCATGCATGCATGGACGCACACCAGGGGTAAAACGTGCATCATGCATGCATGGACGCACACCAGGGGTAAAACGTGCATCATGCATGCATGGACGCACACCAGGGGTAAAACGTGCATCATGCATGCATGGACGCACGCACACCACTCCGCATTTCCCCACCCACCACCACACACGCACACACACAACCATGTATGCATGCGGCTCACCCACACACACACACACACACACATACACATGCACACGCATGGACATGTCCACGCTGAGACACGTACACAGGGTCAGCTATTGCACAACCGTCCACCACAAAACGTCAAAGGAAAAAAGTCCAGACTGCAAGACAACAAAGACTGAAATCAAGACCAGCAAAGCCATTCCCCTCCACACCCCTTGCTACACTGCATACCATCAAAGACGTAGGACTGGATCTGCTCGCGAGGACTCAGTATTTGAGACGTCTAAAAATCAGCAACTTTTGGGACGTCATGCCTCAAAGCTCACGCTACACTGCATACCATCAAAGACGTAGGACTGGATCTGCTCGCGAGGGTTCTGGAGCTCGTAGAAGGCATCGTCTGCACGGTCCTTCATCACCCGGTACTGGACGAGTTGACTTTTGAGTCGACTCAAAAGTCAACTCGCTACACTGCACACCATCAAAGACGTAGGACTGGATCTGCTCGCGAGGGTTCTGGAGCTCGTAGAAGGCATCGTCTGCATGGTCCTTCATCACCCGGTACTGGACGAGTTGACTTTTGAGTCGACTCAAAAGTCAACTCGCTACACTGCATACCATCAAAGACGTAGGACTGGATCTGCTCGCGAGGGTTCTGGAGCTCGTAGAACGCATCGTCTGCATGGTCCTTCATCACCCGGTACTGGACGGAACACACCACCGTCACAAACACATTGTCCTGCAAAAGAAAAAAAAACGATGTGGAGGAAAGTGCACGTGCAGAAACAAACAATTCAGATTCGCAGGAGGATCCTTCATCTCTCGATACTGGACGGAACACACCACCGTCACGAACACATTTTCCTGCAAGAAACAAACGATGTGGAACGATGTGCACCAAACAACGATTCAGATTCGTATGATACTTCAACACCACGTGCTGGACTGAATACACCAACGTCACGAGCACATTGTGCAAAATGAGTAAAATCGTAAAGAAATAAACCATCAGTTGAGAGACCACTATAACCCATAGAGCAACTGATACTGGTCTTAGCAGTCCACTGCCACAAGCACAATATCCTGTTTAATAACGCATAGGCCACCTTTTCCCTAACGGGAAAGGAACACTTTTAGCTTGAAAAGGCGGAAGGGGCACGAAATCATGACAAGCAGGAACTCTCAATTCAAGCACTTCACCTTTTGAGTCGACTCAAAAGCACTTCACCTTCGATTTAGAGGTGACTTTTGAGTCGACTAAAAAGTCACCTAAAATTCAAGCACTTCACCTTCGTTTTAGTGGTGACTTTTGAGTCGACCGAAAAGTCACCTAAAATTCAAGCACCTCACCTTCGATTTAGAGGCGACTATTGAGTCAACTGAAAAGTCACCTAAGATTCAAGCACTTCACCTTCGTTTTGGTTTCGCAGCGCACGTCCAGCTGCTGCACGTGGAGCGACAATTTTCCCGCCAGCCAAGTCCCAGCGAGGGGATTGAAGCAGTGCATCCCGGGATCTGCCACGTGGGAGAATCTCCCCCATCTCTCGAATATTCCCACCTTCCAACATCCACACACGGAAAATAATTAATCACAATAAAAGATAATGAAATATTAATTACAACGATTCGTTTCCAACGCTTATCGATAATGAGATACACCAGAGCAAGGATGGTTGAGCAGGAGCTGACCTGCGACTGCGGGATGCAAGCGACGAAGCAACACGACGATGGAAGCTCAGGGCTACTGCTGTCCGCCATGGAAGTTGACGGGCGGAGGAGCGGAGACGAAAGCGGAGGGGGATCTTGCAAGAAATTGGTCAGCAAGACTCGAAATATGTCAGCGCAGGAAACCATATGTCACGTACTACTAGCGGAAATAGAAGCAAAATGAGACGTGGGGGGCAATGAGACGTGGGAGCCAATGAGACGTGGGAGCCTGGCTAAGAGACAGCCCCTTTTTATTTGTGATGCGAAGGCGACAGTCACTACTACCAGGTAAGAACCATGCAAGCTTCTGAGATTCACGACAGGAGCAGCTCCCGAGTCGCCTCCCAAAGCGCACTGACGCGATGGGAGTGCGCATGCCTGGCGCTCTGCGATGGCTACGTGGAGTCTCTGGGACGCAAGCTAGAGTCATGGAGACGCAACTAGGGTCTTTCGACGCAAAGCAGCCAAGGGAAGTGAAATAGCCAAGATCCTGTACGCAACGCCAGCGTGCTGCCTTGGGTCCGAGAAGGGCCTTGTTTGGTTGGCTCCCCGATTCGACAAGGCCCCTGCTGGCTTGGCTCTCTCTGGTCGGACCACAGCAACTACTATGTGGTAATGAGGATTTTTTTCGAAATCTCTAAAAGGCAGACCCAAACGTCAGGGAATTGCCCCGCGGGTGACGGTCCGGAAAAGTAGCCGCCGGCGAGGCCTCTTCTGACCCAGGTGACAAAGGGTGCACCTTTTCATGGGAAAGAGAAAATGAGACTCGCGTACAGGGTGTAGTGCGATGTACTTTGTAGCAGTGTACCATATGTTTTGTTGTGTGTTTCGTTTTCCCATTTCAAAAAATAATCAGCATTCTGCTTCTCCTTCGAACATTAAAGATATCGTACAAAAGAAGCGGTGTAATGTGAATGCGTAAATTGTGACCTTGTACCGAGCTCGCAGTATGGAAAGTGCCGCGTTCAAATCTCAGATACCTAATTTCTGACACCTGAATTCCGTGACCAGATTTGTCTCTTGGCGACGTTTCGGCAGTCATAACCGCGCGAGGTATTCGTTACGTAATTCCCCTCACCTTCGATCACATTCGGCGACATCGCCTGGATCAAAATCCGACGGTTGCCGATTAAACCAAGCTTGATCAGTCCCGAAGCTTTCCGTCTTGAACTCATCTACCAAAATCAGACGCGGCTGGTTAGCAACGCCGGCGCGATGGCGACAGCGGGCACGCAGATCATCGAGTCGGGTCACGCCGACGCGATTCACGACGTGCAGATGGACTACTACGGCAAGCGACTGGCGACGGCGTCGTCCGATCGCTCGATTCGCGTCTTCTCCGTCGCAGGCGACCACCACTCGCATCTTGCGGATCTGATTGGTCAGTTTTCAAAAGCGCCTCGTGAATAGCCGGATCGGATTCGTCGCTTTTCCGTCGGCGTGCATTTACATCATATCTTTCACATTTGCCGTCATTCCTCCCGCATATTTTACTGTCGTTGCCTTTACCACGTTACGCTTCCATTCTCAATTCGATTGCTTCGCACGCGTTTCCGATTCGAAATTGTCGTTAATTGGCGTTCGAAACCGTGGTTGCTTCGGAACCATGTTCAACTTTAGCGTCCCCATTGGTTCCGTCTCCCCGCAGGTCACGAGGGTTAGGTTTGGAAGGTGGCGTGGGCTCACGCTGAATTCGGATTTTGAGGCGCCTCAAAATACGCTCCTATTGGTTCCGTTTGACATTCCGTCTCCCCGCAGGTCACGAGGGTCCGGTTTGGCAGGTGACCTGGGCTCACCCTAAATTCGGGTCCATCCTCGCATCGTGCTCGTACGACCGCAAAGTGATCATCTGGAAAGAAACCAGCGAGAACCAGTGGATCAAGGTGCGTTGGTGAATCAAGGTGCGTTAGTGATTGGACGTCTGTGAGTGAATGATGGTGCGAATGTGGATTAAATGCGACCTCATGGGTGGAAATCCACGTGAAACAAGTAGATTTTTGTGACGTTTCAAAAATCTGCTTGTTTCACGTGGCTATTCAATTTCTGGTTCCTTTAGATGGAGGTCTGTGAGTGAATGATGTTGCGTCTGTGGATTAGAAGCGATTTCATGGGTGCAAATTAGTGGCTGTGAGAAAAATGACGACATATGTTGTGTGGGAGTGGATAAGGATGAAACTGTGACAGTTCCCCCTAAACCACTGAATAATTATAAGCTATAAAAGAGCGATTCAGGAACCAGTGGGAAATCGTGAAACCCACTAATGAGAGACCCTCTTTAGTCGTGGTCCCATCGTGGGCTGGTGCTCGCATGCGCCTCCTCTGATGGCTCCATCTCCATCCCGCGCCAACAGCAGCTGGAGTGCCTTCCCCCCGCATCCGCCAATCCATCTTCTCCTCACCCTAATCCTTCCTTCCTGCTTTCTCCCGCACTCTCTCAACACTCCAGGCGCAGGTGTTTTCAGACCACGAGGGCTCGGTGAACAGCATCAGCTGGGCGCCTCACGAGTACGGGCTGGTGCTCGCATGCGCCTCCTCTGATGGCTCCATCTCCATCCTCACCCACCGATCTGACGGTGGCTGGGATGTTTCCCGTATTTCCCAAGCCCCCTTCGTCTCATTCCAATCCCTCCTTACTGCTTTCCCTGCACGCTTTTCCCTTCCCTTGGTTTCCTGTTTGGGCTTCCTTTTCCTCCTTTCAACACCCCAGGCGCAGGTATTCTCGGACCATGAGGGATCAGTCAATAGCATCAGCTGGGCGCCACACGAGTATGGGCTGGTGCTCGCATGCGCCTCCTCTGATGGCTCCATCTCCATCCTCACCCACCGCGCCGACGGCGGCTGGGATGTTTCTCGGATCCCGCAAGCCCACCCTGTTGGGGTTACCTCCGTTTCCTGGGCTCCTGCAACGGTTCCAGGAAGCTTCATGGGGTCTGGTCCGAATCCGGTGCTGCGGTTTGTGTCGGGCGGGTGTGATAATATGGTGAAGATTTGGCGGTATTCGAGCGAGGGAGGGGGAGGGTGGCGGCTGGATGGCGCGCCGCCTGGTTTGGCACGGCACACGGATTGGGTTCGGGATGTGGCTTGGGCGCCGAACCTGGGCCTGCCGAAGAGTACAATCGCCAGTGCTTCACAGGTGGGTCTGACTTGGGGACACACATAAGAACTCTGTTATATTTACTTCCCTCAAATTGTTTCTTCAGTGGGTGTTTTGATGACTCCTTACACTACATTTCATGTGACCAAGCCCCAGGTGGTCAGCCTCTAACTATGCTTTCTCCTCCTTATATCCCTTATATCTACAGGATGGCACTGTACTGATCTGGACCCAGACGAGCGAGTCGGACCCATGGAAACCCCTGCTGTTGCAGGACTTCAAGGTGCCGGTGTGGAGGGTCAGCTGGTCGCTCACAGGAAACATCTTAGCTGTATCGGATGCGAATAACAATGTATCGCTCTGGAAGGAGGCTGCAGATGGGCAATGGTCCCAAGTCTCCACTATCCAACAACCATAGACAGGTTAGTCACATGACACTAATTTTCGTATGAAGTGCTGAGTTGAAATTAATGCGGAAAAACAATATTGCAATCAATGTTAACGTATCAGCTGCATTATATATATAAAAAATGGCCTTGTATGTGTTCACCTCTGCTGATTTTACGAGCCACGTCTAGTCAGTCGTCTATGCCTGTAATTCTGTAGCATTTTCCTTCCAACGGAGAATGGGTTTGAAAGTGTCAATGTTATGCGCTTGACTATTGTGAAGGTGTAGAGAACTTTCGACTTCACACCACATCGCTCGCATTTTTGTTTCGATCGAATATCGGGATGGTCATGTGGAGCATAATCCAAACCGACCCGACCAGAGCCTCCACTGTCCAGTCACAAACTTGTCCTTTTCGCGTGAGTTGGACGGTCCCGCCAACAGATATCCCACCTGAAAAATGCACAGTTGTGCACAAGGCCATTTGTTCGTTCCGTATGGATATTGGTTGGTATGGCTGGCAGAAACTGTTCAGGTGTTTCTTCCTCAGCATACGGACGCATAGATTCGATACAGGCTCGACAAACGACAGCTACGGTTCCCGTCCGTGACCCAGCTGTACGTCCCTCGTTTTCCTCCTCCCTCCCACCCAAGAAAGACGTTCTTTGCTTCCCCTGACCCAATCCCTGACCGCACCACAAACCAAGAGCTCCAGGCAAGTGTGCAATGGGGAGCTTGGGCAGCGGGCAGCTTGACGCGGTCTTCGAGAGGGAAACGGAGCTGCTACAATCGAACAACATCACCTGAACGTCTCCCCTCCCCACCCCCAATCCTGACCCAATCCATGCCCCCTACACCTCCAACCAAAGACCTGGGGATTCTTTCTGCCCGTCCCACCTTCACCATCTTGCTCCTTGCATTCACTCACACTCGAACGTGTTCTCGTGGTATGGTCCTTCAGTGCTTCCGTCCCTTGCTCCTCACTCTCCACTCACGAATCACGATTCTCCTAGCTGATTGAGCTGACCGATTTTCCTTGCCGAAGTACCTGCTACCCAGCGAACGTAGAGCTGGTGCATCGCGACCATAGTTCACAAGCTTTCGCATAGTGGATTCGCCACCTTAGAAGACGTGCTGGGCTGTTGAGGCGGCGTATTTATATAGAAGCAGTTAACGATCAGCCGTTTTAGGGCTAGGTGCAAACCTCTCAGGAGGTGTATTTTCTTGTAGCGTCTACCAGGTTAACTTGTCACGATGTTTGACAATGGAGATTCCGTGTGGTCGTTCATTACAATTATCGTGTGTATAGCGTTCACTGTACTCGCCTTCCTCTGGATGCACTTCTGCTACTTCCCGGGCGGCTACAAACGGAGCGAGGTCATGGACATGGGCGAGTACGCAATGATAGTTGCCGCCCAACGGCTAAACAAGCTCGAGGATAAATCCAAGGAGGGCTATCCGGAAGACGCGGACGAGCTATACTACGAGCGGAATCCCGAGGATGACGGCGAGAATCACGGCGAGGAAGGCGGAGACTGGCAGGTCCAGGCGGACCCCGATGTGGAGCAGCCTGGAGAATATTACGAGGAGGAGGAGGCCCCGCGATACGACGTAAGCTTACGGACTCGGGAACTATCAGACATTGCTTTACGCGAATCGAGTAGCTAGCTGTAGATGCGTCGGTCAGGACCCGTCCGGAAAGTCAGATTTCAGCGTAGTGGAATATTTAAGGATGAGCTGATGAGGTGGGGAAATCCTTTAGTCGCGTTGCGTGTTGTTCCAGCGAAACTTAGCACGCATGACGTTCAGTCGAGTCGAGTCGTGCAGGGAGTCAGGCCTAACTGAGTCGAGAGTTTCGAGGCGACAACACCAGGGGCCCTCATGTGTTGAGGATAAGTTGATTCGTGTCGATTGTTTTTTCAGTAGCAGAGCGTGAGTCAGGAGTGTTTTCTGAGCAGGGACAGTTGTCGCGTTATTATTTTCTAGGTTGCTTAGAGTGCGTTTTCTCCCTCTTACCGCGTACTCTACACTTGTTCCTATCCTCTTTGTCTCACCTTCTCTTTATTCTCTCCTCTTCTCACATTGGCTCCTTTTCGCAGCCATCAGTAACCACCCCCTCATCGCAACCATCAGCCGGGGATCGCGACACCGCCAGCTACAGGGACGACCGCAGCGATTCAACATACACCGCCTCGACGCCGCACTCCTCCGGCTACTATTATTGAGCTGCCCGCCCAGCTGTTTTCGTGCTGCCCGGCCCTGGCTCCACTTTCGCCTGACTCTTCGCTACCATAACGACGAAGTTGTGCCGCCTTCGTTAGCTTATAAGCACATATTCAAGCTTGATCGGGACTTCGTCACTGGAAGGAAACTGTCCTCGCTACAACGAGTTTCGAGGCTCGACAATGCACCAGAGCAGAGCCATCAAGGAATCTGGACAAAGATTTCCGTTCTTGGTATCCCTTGCTAGCAGTTTTTCTCCCTGTTGTATAATGAGGCAACTCTTCTTTCATTCGTTTTGTTCTGCAATATACGGTAATGGGGTGAGCACTCACGCGAATCATCTAATTACACATCAATAGGAAGAGAATTCGTGTATGGAGGTCTGGTTGCAAACATTAGATCATTAGTGATTGATTGATGTTGTGTTGGGCTAGGTACTTGCTACCAACTGTTACGAGTGCAATTGAGTGAACGAACGAGAATTGCACTATCGAAGCAAGAGTACAATGAGCGAAGGCATGAGCGAAGAATATATAGCGAAACTACAGTGGTAACGGTAATGGACTGTGGTTGTCGCGCGACGGGCCTGGGACTGAGGTTGGGAAAAAGTGTCGAAGCGGAGGCCCGGAGCGCGGGTTACCCGCCGAGCCGTGAGGTCGGGGTGTGATGTGCGAAGGTGGCGGGCGGATTGTCGATGCGAGGGTGGCGAGTGGTAACGGTGTTGACTGTGGTGCTACAGTGATGTACGCGTTGAGCAGGGATGCGAAGTAAGGAAAAGGAATTTTCCTTACACTACCCCCTCTCCTAAGGAGGTCCTCCTTACGAAAGTGCGTGTACATCCCTGAAATTTCGGCTGCGCAGATACTCAGTGAGGACGGGGTGGTTTTCGATTCTGTCCAGGGGAACCCAATTGTCTTCGGTGGGTGTACGGTCCTTCCAGCGGAGTAAGAACTCGATCCTTCGGGCTCCTCGAGGGTCGCGAACTCTGTGACTCAGGATTTTTTCGGGGGTGATGATAGGTTCAGTTGGTGGTCTTGTCATGCTGGCTGGGCGATTGCGTGGTAGTTGGCTCGTGGACGGGACGTAAGGGCGAAGTAGGCTGACGTGGAATGAGGGGCTGACGTACCAGTCAGCAGGGAGGAGGAGGTGGGCGGTGACGGGTGTAAGCATGTGGCTTATGCGAAATGGCCCACAGTATCGGGGGCGGAGTTTTGGGGTGATGGGCAGTCGGAGGTTCTGGGTGTCGAGTAAAACTAAGTCGTCGGGCTGGTAAGTGACAGGTCTGCGGTGGCGGTCGGCGTTGCGTTTAGCGATGATGTTTGATTTTTTTATTGCGTCTACTGCCCGGGTCCGTGCTGCTTGTCATATTTCGGCGAACTGTTGTGCTCGTGGTACTGGGTTGTCGGGATTTGGGGTCATGGGTACTGTCGGGTCTTGTCCGTAGTTCAGGTAAAATGGTGACTGTTGGGTCGTGGCGGATGGCGAGTTGTTGTACGCGAATTCGATTAGTGGCAGTTGCTGTTCCCACGTGGTCGGGTCGTCACACGTGGCCCTGATGAGCTGTTCCATGGTCTGATTTGTCCGTTCTGTCTGTCCGTCGGTTTCGGGGTGGTATGATGAACTGAACTGCAGTCGCGTGCCCAACTGATGCCACAGGTTCCGCCAGAAGTTGCTGGTGAATTTCGTATCGCGGTCGCTGATGATCGCCGCTGGTATCCCGTGCAGTCGGACGACGGTGGAGATGAAGAGGCGTGCTGTTTCGTCGGCTGTGATTGATTTTTTGCAGGCTGCGAAATGTGCCATTTTCGTCAGTCGATCGACGACGACCAGGATCGCGTCGTTCCCACTCGCCCCGGCTGGTAACCCCGTGACGAAGTCCATTGTCACCTGCTGCCAAGCATGCTCTGGGGGTGGTATCGGCTGTAACTGTCCCGCCGGCCGCTGTCGTGATGATTTCATGAGCTGACAAGTGGGACACGATGCCACGTGTCGCTGTACGTCAGTCAACATTTCGGGCCAGTAATAATGCCGCTGCAGCTGCTGCCGTGTTTTTTCTACTCCGAAATGCCCCGAGGTAACTCCGTCGTGTGCCTCCTGTAACAGTAATTCCCGTAGCAGTGTATACCCAGGCACCCAAATGCGGTCAGTCCCGTTTTTTACGTAATAGACTCCCTTTGCTGCTGCGAACTGCTGCGAATTTCCTCCTGTGAAGAATGGGTCCGTTTGGTACCCGTGGGTGAATAGGCCTGTCAGTAGCGGGCTTGTCTGGGCGAGTAGTATTGCGTGGATCTGGGCAGCGGGGCGGGTCAGTGCGTCGGCGATGTTCGAGGCTCCCTTTTTGTAAGTGACCGTGTAGTGAAAGTTGGACTCGAGGAAATCGAGCCAGCAAATCTGTCGTGGGTTGAGGTGTGGCTGTGCGCGAAGATACTGTAGTGATTTATGGTCTGTCCGTACTGTCACGTCCGTGCCAGTCAAGTAACAGCGCCATACTTTGAACGCGTGCACGATCGCAAGCATTTCGCGGTCGTGTATCGGGTAATTTTTCTCGGGCGGATGCAGTTTTCGTGACTCGTATGCGATAGGCTGTAGGCCATTGCCGAAATCCTGTAGCAGTGTGGCTCCGATGGCGATATCGCTTGCGTCGGTAACTACTTCGAATGGGCGGTGTGGGTCGGCGATGCGCAGGACGGGCGGTGAACAAAGAACATTTTTCAGGGCAGAGAAGGCAGCATGCTCTTTCTCCCCCCACGTAAAAGCGACCCCCTTCCGCAGTAAATCCGTCAGTGGGGCAGTTAACTGTGCCATATCGGGGACGAACCGACGCACATAATTAACGAACCCTAAAAAGCTCTGCAGCTCCGTGATGTTCGTCGGGGGATGCCACGCTTTTACCATATCCAGCTTTTTTGGGTCGATTTCAACTCCAGCCTCCGAAATAACGTGCCCCAAAAATTCTAACCTATCCTGGAAGAACTCGCACTTGGAACCCTTGGTCAGTAATCTGTGCTCGTCTAAAACCTTAAATACTGCTTCCAGATCTGCTAAGTGCTGCTGCTTATCCCGACTGTAAACTAGGATGTCGCCGAGGTACACGATCACGCATTTATCTAAGAGCGGCCTAAATGCCTCGTTCATGGTCATCTGAAAAGTCGCCGGTGCGTTGGTCAGCCCGAATGGCATCACAGTGTACTCGAACGACCCGTACCTAGTCCTGAAAGCTGTTTTGGCGCAGTCCGATGGTTCGACCCTAATTTGATGGTAACCTCCCCGTAAATCTATTTTCGAAAAAACCCGTGCTGTTCGCAGTTGGTCGATCAGTTCGTCGGCGCGGGGAATGGGGTACCGCGACTTGACTGTTACCCTGTTCAATGCTCTGTAGTCGATACACATGCGAAAACCCCCGTCTTTCTTCGGCGTGAATAGTATCGGTGCGGCGAACGGTGACGAGCTCGGTCTGATGAATTTTTTCTCTAACAGGTAATCTAACTGCTTCCTTAGTTCGTCGAGCTCGGGCTGTGTCAGTCTGAACTGGCGCTGTACGGTTGGCTGTGCCCCCGATTCTAATTAGATTCGGTGGTCATGTGCTCGTTGAGGTGGCAGTCCTTTCGGTAAGTCGTCGGGGAAAATCCCGGGGTATCGTTTCAACAGTTCCTGTAATTCAGGCAGTACAGCTGCCAGCAGTTTCTTGAAATCACTCGGCTGCTCTGCTTCCTCTACTACTGCGATGTCTACTGCGTACACGTCAGCTCCAGCAGCGACAGCCCGTTTCATTGTGATGGCGTTGACGTGTACCGTTGATGACTCGGGCGACTGCCAGCGAGGTAGCTCGACCCAGTTACCACTACTTCGCACGGTGCAGCTACCCGTCGTCCAGTCAATTCGCGGGTTATACCGTCGCAGCCAATCACGTCCCAGTAAAATATCGTGCCCATCCAGTGTCGTTGCGAGCATTTCCTGTGTAAACCCGAAATTTCCCCCGCAGCGGACTTTGACTCTTTCTACCTTTTCCCGTATGGCCAGTGGCGTGCCGTCGACTAAGCGCGCGTCTATCTCCGGTAAACAACGGCTAAGTGTCAGTTGCAGTTTTCGTGCGGTTGCGGTATTAACTAAACTGTGGCTTGCTCCTCCGTCGATAAAAATCTTCACTGCTGCTCCCTGTATTTTCCCGTGGATCAGTACTGGGCAATCCGTCGCTGTACCCTCCTTATTCGTCCGAGTCCGATCGATAGCATGAATCGGTACTGTGACTCGGTGAGGGTCGGTGGGGTTGGGCGAGCAGGCAGTCTCGTCAGTAGTTGGCCCGATTCCTACTGACTGCTGGCGTTTCCCTGCTTTGGAGACTCCCTCCCCTACTCTGCTCCGCGGCGCCTTAGCTCCTCTGGGCATTCGCTCTTGCGATGGCCCGGCCTGTTGCAAGCGAAGCAGCGCCCCTTAAACGGCGCGGCAGCTGCATTCGTCGCAACAGCGTGTACAGTGGCGTGCTCGATCGGTCCCCGAGGACGATGTCCATAGTAGGACCCCGGTCTCGGACGGCGTAAAATGTCGATTTTCTCGGCGAGCGCGAGAATCTCGTTGAAGTTCGAGAGCCCGCGTAGCATGATTTCGTGCGAGATGTCCGGCTTCAGCCCTCCGACGTAACGGTCCACCCGCTCCGCTTCGTGCATATAGCCGACTTGCTCGCATAATGCGAGGAAACCACTCGTATAGTCTTGAACCGATCCAAGCTGCCGCCAAGTGCGCAATCTCTGACGCGCCGAAATAGAAGCCGCGATCGGCTCGAAGCGCGCCCGAAGCCCTGCGCACCACGCATCCCACGTGCTGTATTGGGCGGTCTCGCAGAATGAACTCCAGGTGACAGCTGGGCCCGTGGGCCCTTCCTCTTGCGACGGTGGCTCGTAGGCGCGTGGCGACGTCACGATGACTCGCCACCAGTCCATGGCGGGGCCCCTTAGCAGCGAAACGGCATACCGAATCTTCGTTGCGTCCGACTCGACGTAATTCGCGTCGAAGAAGACGTTCATCGTGAAGACCCACGACTGAACCGTCGGACCTCCACGCTGGCTCGGGTCGAAGCAGGGCGGGCGTTGCGGCTTGAGTGGCATTGGTGCCATGATGGCCTGTTCGCCACTTGTCGCCGCGAACTCCACGTGCCGACGGGCTTCGTGAGGCTCCCGCGGGCTTGGTGCGACCCTGTTTCCTCCCATGCCAGGCATCGGCTGTGCGGCGCCATCGCTGGCTGCGCATGAGCGCTGTCCCACGCTGTTGTTTTGTGTTGGTGTGCCGGACGAGATGACGATCGGCTCGTCTGATTGTGCAGATGCATTTGTCGGTGCGTGTGGTGGCGCTGGAGTGTTCATCGTTGATTGCTGACGCGCGGAGTCACGTTCCGCCGTGAGCGTTGCAATTTCGAGCGCCGAATCTTCAAGTTGGCGCACCAGACGGTCGAGCTGCTCCTGCGTCAATGTGGCGAGCGTGAATTCGGCCATGGCGGGGGTGTCGGGCGAGCTCAGCGAAAGCCTCGGTCGTGGCCGTGCGTGCTTACGAGAGAGCACTACGAGCGGCGGTGCTGTGTCGCTGAGAGACGTCTACCCCCCCCAAAAATTGAGATAGTGGGGAAGCGAAGGTGTGGGTGCGGTCCGAGAGGAGATCGTAGGCTCTGAATACCAGGTGTTACGAGTGCAATTGAGTGAACGAACGAGAATTGCACTATCGAAGCAAGAGTACAATGAGCAAAGGCATGAGCGAAGAATATATAGCGAAACTACAGTGGTAACGGTAATGGACTGTGGTTGTCGCGCGACGGGCCTGGGACTGAGGTTGGGAAAAAGTGTCGAAGCGGAGGCCCGGAGCGCGGGTTACCCGCCGAGCCGTGAGGTCGGGGTGCGATGTGCGAAGGTGGCGAGCGGATTGTCGATGCGAGGGTGGCGAGTGGTAACGGTGCTGACTGTGGTGCTACAGTGATGTACGCGTTGAGCAGGGATGCGAAGTAAGGAAAAGGGATTTTCCTTACACCAACCTAACTAATACGGCATTCATGATATGAAAGATAAGCATCCATTGCATAAGCTTACAATTCAAGAACCCTAATCGTACAAAATAATCAACACAATTTCGCCTTCAAAACTTTTTTGCATCCTCCTAGGGTGCACTGACCACCTCCTCCCTCTCCTCAACGGCCAGCACTTTCAGCAGCAGACTAGCTTTCACCATAGCAGGGCCCAGTTCGCCCTCCACCAGTTCCACCTCCCCCTCGCTCATCCCCTTCCCCGCCTCATCCACAGCAGCCCTAAACGCCTTCATAGGATCCCCCACAGTGTCAGGATATTCCTGAAAGAAGCTCACAGCCTTGGCTGCACGCAGGGAGGGGAGGCACTCCACAGCCTTAGCTCCGATGCGCATGCCGTTGGTAAGGTGCGTGACCAGGAGAGTGAACGTGTGGGTGAAGAGCCGGAGGCGAGCAGCGTCGGCAGGGGAAATGGCAGCTAAGGCAGCACCACTGCTGCTAGACGTTGAGGATTTGAGGGAGAGGAAAGAGGGGGTGGGTTGGTCCTGCTCGCCCTGCTCCTGGCTGTTGTTGGTCGAGGCTGATGCTTTCTGACCAAGTTGCTCGATCAGTCGCACGTAGGCTATGGTCTCAGTGGTGGCAGATGCAGGTACTACTGCTTCTGCTGCTGCTGCTGCCTCTCCTCCTGCTGCATCTGATCCTGCTGTTGCTGCGCCCGTGGTGGCACTAACATGAGAAAGAGCGGCAATATCGCTCCTTAAAGCCTCGCTTCGCGTTAGCCCCGTTGCTGGACCCACCAAGCTTAAAGCCCTCGTGGCTCCTGACACATCATCCCCACCATCGCCGCCAGACTCCCCGCCGGATATCCCGCCGGATTCCACACCGGTTTTCCCGCCAAGGGCTTGGAGCACGGCCCTATCAAGAGCCTCGTGCACGTGCATCTGATCGACTAGGTATTGTCCGAACCTCTTAGCTCCAAACCTCCATCGATCGAACGACGGCAGCGGCGGCTCACCCTTCGCCCGCGCAACAGAAAGCTTCCCCTGCGACTCGAGAACCTGCAGGTGCCTCACCAGGCGTTCGTACAGGTCTACCTGCGGCGCGGGTGCATCTCCCTCTGCCAGTTGTTGCCGAGGCTGCTGATCAGCTTCGACCCGAGCTTCGTAGCCTTGAGAAGTAGCGCCGGGAGTGAAGCTTTTCACCTTGAGATTGCCGATTTCGTCCGGACCTATTTCCGACGCTGCCGAACCTGCGGCCTCCCAACCTTCCACCCGGACGAAGTCTACGCGACCCTTTGCTGCTGCGCGCTGGTCTACCAACGGATGACCACGTGTCGGGGTCGGGTTGGAGGAAGACTTCTCCTCCAATTTCTGCACTAGACGCGTGATTTTCGGATCTTCTGGCACGACGGCGGACGGTCCAGATTTCGACCCATTTTCACGCGGTTTCTTGGTCCCCCCAGCAGTCTTACTACCCTTGGATTTAGCCGGCGACTTGTTCGACGGGCCGCCGGACCCAAATCCCTTACCCGATCCACCCGCTGCTGCGTTAATTCTGACTGAATGACTTCTGCTAATCGGAAACGCGGTTCTGCTCGAGCCTGGAGCATGATGAAGAAATCTGCTCTCGGGACGCGAAAGCTGATGACAACAGGGGAGATTAACGAGCGATGACGCCATGGTGAGAAATAGTATGTGCTCAAATTAGGTGCCGACACGACAAGGAGATGCCTGGAGAATGCTCGTTCTCTGATTGGATTCTTAGCAAATTATATCACCCACGAGAGTGTTTTCCAAAGCGCCATATCTCATGACCATCTTCCTCGGTGTTTGCGAAGATTTGCAAGGTGTCGAAATGTTACCAGCAGATCGTCGCTTCTTCGACGCAGAATCGAACGGCAGGAACCCGTCGTCGCAGAAACGAAACGGCCAACTGGACGGAGACGGGAGGACCTCGGATTCGGGCCCATGAACCTGGTCAGCCTATAGTGTAGCCAGGAGAGTGCATGAACACAAAATACACTCACGTAGCAACGTTCCTTACATTTGCAGTTTTTTTTTTCTTTTTCTTTTTTCAAAATAATCTATGGTATGCCTTGTATTACGTTTTGGGACCTCTGGTAGATGCAACCAGCCTGCTTATCTGTATCACAAATAAAACTCGTCGGTATGCATCGAATTTGTAGTCAATCAGCCCATCATTGAGCCAAACAGTGAGGCATGAAGAATCTGGCTATCATGGCTGATGGAGGCGGTTTTCCACAGGTGAAGGAACTGTGCACGCCAGGCAGGGGGGTACCACTTATTAAATATGTGCAAGATATGCATGTCCGAAGGATATGCATGTATGCATGATACACAGCACAAGAGGCTATGCAGGAAGATAGTATGGCTACAAAACGGAGGAGAGGAGAGGACCGGACTAGGTTGAGGGGGTTGGGGGACAATAGCCACAGAAGTTGCTCAGAAGACGGATGCAGATGAGAAGGCAGGCATAGATACATGTATTGAGACAGCTCAAAACACTTCTTTTATCACGGGACAATATCTACAGAAGTTGCTCAGAAGAAGGATGCAGATGAGAAGGCAGGCATAGATACATGGGGATGAGATCGTACCTCTGCAAGGCGGGAATGGCTAAGGTACAGGGGAGGGGACGAGAAATCATGGATGCATACAAGGCAGGCATAGATACATGGGGATGAGATGAGATCGTACCTCTGCAAGGCGGGAAAGGCTAGGGTACAGGGGACGACCGCGTGTAAACAGAAGTGTTTTGAGACGTCTCAAAACACTTCTGTTTACACTAAGGATGCAGATGAGGAGGCAGGCAGAGATATATGGGGATGAGATCGTACCTCTGCAAGGCGGGAATGGCTAAGGTACAGAGGACGACCACGACGCATGTACGCGTCATCCTGAGATCAGCAAATACACCACAATCAAAGAGGAATATTCCATTGCAATTACGGCATCCATGTAACGACCGGGCAGATAGGTATGATATACAACAGTTTGGGTGAGCAAAAAGTCACGCATACCGGGTCTAGAGAAATGGGTGGAATAAAATGCATCGCCATTTGCCCGATAACAAGCAAAGTAAGACAAGGCACCAAGGTGGGTAACAACAACCGTGCCCTTATAACCTGCGGGCCAAATTGTTCGAAGTTAGGAGGAGTGGTTGAGCGAGAGACGCGATTGGCCAAGATTTTGGGTGGCAGAGTCAAACCCAACTGAAGTTAGGAAGGTTGAACCAATTTGAGTCAGATGGAGAGAGCAGCGCATATGTGCGCAGCGTGTATCAAGAGCAACAGCCATATGCTCTGAGCCAGCCACCTCAAGAATGCACTCACCTCTCCATGCGAGTCGAGATAGATTCAGATGGAGGGAGCAGCACATATGTGTGCATCGTGTATCAACAGCAACATATGCTCTGAGCCAGCCACCTCAGGAATGCACTCACCTCTCCATGTGAGTCGAGATAGATTCAGATGGAGAGAGCAGCGCATATGTGCACGCCATGTATCAACAGCACCTGTGCTTTCTGAGTCGACTTATAACTCCACTCACCTCTCCATGTGAGTCGAGATAGATGGAGAGAGCAGCGCATATGTGCACGCCATGTATCAACAGCACCGGCTGTGTTGATCGCACCACCTCGAGACTGTTGAGACGATACAGCAGTGCTCCTGTTTCTCACCTCTCCATGTGAGTCGAGATAGATGGAGAGAGCAGCACATATGCGCACACCGTGTATCAACAGCACTAGCCATGCTCTTTGGGAGGACCCAAAGGCCACCTTACTCCTCACCTCTCCATGCGAGTCGAGATAGATGGAGAGACCGGCACATATGTGCACTCCATGTATCAGCACCAGCTGTGTCGATCGCATCACCAGGAACAGACCCGTGCCTCCATTCTCTGCACAGGGGGTTGGATGGTTAACAGAGAAAGGGCAAGCGTATGTGTGCACGCCATGTATGATCACCAGCTGTGTTGATCGCATCACCAGGAACAGACCCGTGCCCCCGTTCTATGCATGTAGGGGTGGACGGCGATGGTAAAAAATACATATAATGTACATGATAGGCCCACTGAAATATCAGGCTGCCCAGAATTACTTTAGAATCTAGAATCCTTGCACACGAGAGGTTTGCGACCTGTACGGACGCTGCTACCGGGTCCCGTCTGGCCGCATTCTCTCGCCTGCTCAGGTCTCTTCACACTGCGCACTGTTAGAATTAGGCAGTCAACACTTAGGGCCTTAGGGTCCCTCGACTTTCACCCATCCACCTCTGACCCCAGCCTCTTCATCCGAGCACCACCCTCCCGGTTCTTCATCCTGGTTTATGTCGATGACATGATCCTTGTCACCAAGGATCAGACTGAGCTGGCAGCAGTCAAAACCGCACTTGGTGAGAAGCTGGCCATGAAGGACCTTGGGAAGCTGACGAACTATTTGGGAATGGAAATCACACGTGATCGCACAGCCCGCACCATCACCCTTTCGCAAAAGTTTTACATCAACAACGTTCTGACGAGGTTCCAGATGCAGGAAGCAGCATCAATGCCCACCCCACTCTCTCTGCAACACCAACTCACTGCACCCTCCGTTCCCTCACCTGAGCCCTGTGACGAGCCTTACCCCGAGCTCGTGGGATCCCTCATGTACGCGATGATGTGCACTCGACCAGACTTAGCCTATCCAGTCAGTGTACTGTCCCGCTACGTTGCACCTGGTCGCTTCACTCGCCACCACTGGTCTGCCGCCAAGCGGGTTCTTCGCTATCTCAAAGGCACACAGGATTATGTGCTCACACTTGGCGGCACTTCCCCTGTTCGCCTTGAGGGGTACAGTGACTCATCCTATGCTGATGACCAGAGTGATCGGCGCTCGTCCCAAGGGTAATGCTTTACCCTTGGCAGTGGGGTTGTAAGTTGGCGCTCCACTCGGTCGTCCTCCGTCTCACTGTCGACCTGTGAGGCAGAGCTGTATGCCGGGACCATGGCTGCACAGGAGGCTCGTTGGCTCTCCTTCCTGCTGACAGAACTGGGGTATCCCCAACCAACCCCAACGCTTTGGTGTGACAACGAGAGCACCATTCATCTCACCAAAGACCCCGTTTTCCATGGCCGCACCAAGCACATTGAAGTCCGTCACTACTTTCTTCGTGAGCTGGTGCAGCGCGAGCAGCTGAAGGCTGAACACATTGCCTCCGACTGCAACCTTGCTGACTTGTTTACCAAGTCGCTTGTTCGCGAGGATCATTACCGCCTCCTCTCGGCCATGGGTGTTGGGCCTCCTTGTGGCTGATGTGTTGCAGCCTAGGGGGTGTGTTAGAATTAGGCTGTCAACACTTTGTGTACTATATTCTATATCGCGTAGGTTATTTGCAGGTTGGGTGTAGTTTGTGATCCCAACCCTATCTGGTTGGGATTCCCTCGTAATCCTGCAAATCTGCCAACTCACCAATTGGAGATTTGCTAGGATTCCCATCCCATCCTTTCCCTAGCCTTGCCCATCCCAACCTCGTTTGTACTTAAGGCCTAGTGCCTTCTTTCCTAATCAATCAGTTGAGCTCCATTATTATCATGGTATCAGAGCTAGCGAATTCCGCTCACGCGGAATCCGATCCTTGGCGTCGCGATCATTCTCTTCCTCTCGGCTATGGCGTTCTCGGTTCACGCCTTCTTCGCTTAGCGTTTTTCGTCTTCACATCGTCGCACTGGTCAAAAGCGCTTTCCCGCTCCGTCTACGTGCATTTCCGATTTCAACGACGGCACATTTCTCCGTCAATTTCCTTCATCGTAAGCTCTGAAATTTCAAATTTCCGTGGCAATTTTCTCACATTCGAAACTTCCAGCAGGTTTTCATCGGTGCAGCAGAGCAGGTTCAGCGGCGCAGCAGAGCAGGTTCAGCGGCGCAGCAGAGCAGGTTCAGC